ACGTGCGAGCGACGCACTTTTGCCTCCGTCGCGCGATCGATACGTGGCACGCTGCCAGCACGTTTCGTCGACGGATGCATCTTTTGTGGCCGCGCGCCATGACGTGGCAGCGCCAGCGCACGCTGCGACGCAGTATGGACCACTGGCACCTCTGGCTTGCTCAGCGGCAGCGTCGTGCCTCGCTGCAGCAGCGCGCGCTGGTACGGTTGCATTTTGATTCGAGCGGTCCACAAGATGCAACTAGATGCACTGGACTCGAATGTTGCTGGCGACTGTCTTTGTAGAGTGGTGTGCTGCTGCCCGCGCACTCCGAGAACGCACCACGACGGTCGCCAAAGCGCTCGCACGACGACAACGCAAGCACGTGCGTGACGCTGTCGGGCGACTACGGGCAAGCGCTGCCTTTTCTCAGCGCCTTCGAGCTCTCACCGAATCGAATTTGGCGAAAGCACTTACGTCCACAAGTCGCAAAGTGCTGCTGCAGTGGCGCCAGTACGCGCGCGCCAAGTATGCGAGCCATGTTGCGCAGGCAGAGGCGGCGGCCACTATGACGCTATTTCGTCAGCAGCGAGTCTTGCACAAGGTGCGTCTGCATTCATAGCTGCTAAGTGATACCCAATGCCGTTTAGTGGCACTTCACAGCCCATGAACAACGCCAACATGTGCTAATGGTTCGCCGTGCGCTCGATTGGTACCGATCGAGCGCAGCAGCGGGGGCGTTTGCAGCGTGGAGCTTCGCAGTCACCCGGTGGAAGCGACGCAAGGAGCAAGGCGCTGCAGCACTCCACCGCTGGCGACAACAACGCCTGTCCAGCTGCTTTCGGCAATGGCGCGGCTTTCACTCATCTCGAGCCCAGCGGCGCGCGGCAAGCGTTCGCGCAGGCCGCTTGTACTCGCAGACACTCCTTCGTCGATGCACGGCCAACTGGAGCCGCGTCCTGCTACGTCATCATGTACGCCCTACTCATTTGGCTGCGAGCAGAGCGCCTAAGTAGAGACACTGTAGCATGTGCTCGGCGAGGTGGAGCGTCGACGGGCCGCGCGTGACATGGATATCAAGCGGCGCTGCTTGCGGATATGGCGCCAAGAAGCAGCAGAGAAGCGGTGTCGACAAGCCAAGTTCAACGTGCTCTGGCAGCAAACCAGAACCACGACGCTCACTCGCCAGTTCGAATCCATTGCCAGCTCGACTTTTTACGCTTGAAACGTAGGTTTTGCACATGGCGGCGCCATGCCATCTTACGCCCTCGAATGCGTCTCTTCCGTCGCGACCAGGCGCAGTCGCTGCTTTACCTCGGTACTCGACTCACGATTTTGGAGAAGCTGACCACATGTGGTAGTGTTTGGTGCTTGGGACCAGTACATCGTTCTTCGTCATAAGTGCCACTCGTTCATGCGGCTCGTCGAAGGTACTCGCAGCCGCTTGACAGTGTCACCCACGACATGTAGAGCGATGGCAGTCAGTGTCTTTGGGCCAAGCCTACCGAGTTGGACGCGCCCTCGTCACCCGATGGGCTCACCTATCTCATAGGCGTGGGCCGTATACTCTCGGAAGCGATTGCACCACCGACGCAAGTACCTCCAAGCGCTTCGCCATTGGCACGCGAATCTGCTGGGCGCTTGCTTTGCGTACTGGCAACAGGTGGCTCCTTGCACCATGCGGCGCAAGACGATCTCGATCCTCTTGGGTAGTGGATCCGCGTACGGCGGCAGCGACACGCGATCTTTCGCCGCTGGGTCCAGCGACAACAGGTAGAACTCTAGTACGCTTTAGTCGCGCCGTTCGAGACCATGTAGCGCCGTGCCATTGGCCTGTGGACCGACTTTGCACTTTGCCAGAGCGAGTACGCGGCCTTGGTCGCTGCTGCCGATGCCACGTGCCACGGGCGATTGCTGTCACGCGTTCTGCGTGGATGGCAGCTCGTCACACAGCACCGCCGTTGGCGCGAGCAGACCATCCACGACGCCGTCTGCGTGCGAACGCTGCGATGGGCTGCTCGCGTGTGGCAGCACTGGGCGGCCTACAGCACGTACCGCCGCGCCAAGCAGGACGAGGCAGGCATGGCGCTCACCTTGTACCATGCGACGCTGCTTAAGTCCATCTTTTGCAAGTGGCGCACGATCTGGCACGTACTCTCGAGTGCGCGCTTGGCCCTCCAAGCCACGACACTGCGTCTTCAGATGCTTCTGCAGCTGTCGTGCTTTCGGTACTCTGGTGTCTCTACCATGCTGCCATCTTGATAACTTCAATGATTAGCGCGTGGCTGGCGTTCGCGCATACCTCGTTGCACCACCGACATCTCCTCACCGTATACTCTTGGCTTTTGAAAAGGTCAGAATCGATGTGGCCTAGTCGTACCTCGCCCGAGATCGAAAGCGGCGGCTACGCCGTCTATTGCGCGCATGGCAGGCGTGTGCCAGCGGAAGCGCCCGTCGTCGGCGACTCGCAGCGACACACCATCGCATCTTCCAGCTCCAGCGCGGTCTGGGTAATTCCACTACCAAGCATGGGATGGCGGTCAAATGTCACTGGTTGGGCGTAGGCGGATTCCAAGCCGGCGTATTGCAGGCCAAGCGGCGCCAGAGTACTGCGTCGATTGCTCGGCGGTTCCTCGTTCGAAGCGTCCAGCAACGGCTCTGGTGTGTCTTTTGCAAGTGGCGCGAATCCACGGACCGAAAACTGCGCGCCAAACACGCGCTCACATTTGCGCTCGCGACGCAGACCTCGTCGTGCGTGCAGTACTGGCATCATGTCGCTCAGCTCCAGTGCCAGCGACGCGCACGCGTGGTTGCCAAGGTGCGTCGGGCCTATTCTTAACACATGTTGCTACCATGTACTCTATGCTAGCTGGCCGAGAGGACGACACGGACGACGTGGCGGGTGTTGCACCTCTGGCGCCGCCAGGGCCGGCTACAAAGAGTGGTGCGGCGTGCGGGGATCGAACACCGGCTCCGCGTGCTCGACCACGTCTTTGGCGCGTGGCGCGCGTACTGCGAGGCAAAGCAGCGCCGGCGCCACGTCGCAGACGATTGGGTGACGTCGCGCCAGTCGACGCTGGCGACTCGCGTGCTGACGCGCTGGGCGACGTGGGCGCACCGCCGGTGCCGGTTCGTGGCCTCTGTGTCGTAGAAAAGGAGGTTAACACGATACGTAGCGCGCGGACGGTCGTGCTGCGATCACAGAGTCTCTGTCGAGCGCACTGGGAGCGCTGGCGCCGCGCCTACACGGTCGCCACGTACTTTGCTTGGTATCGCATGCGTCGAGTGCTCCATCTCTGGGCCGCGGGCACCGATCTCCGGCGGGCGCGCCGGGCAACGTCCGCAACAGCCGACGCGTTTGCGGTGCAGCGGACACTGGCCTTTTGGCACCGAACGACACGATGCGCCGCCAGCAGACGCAAGCGCTTGCACGCTGCCCGCGCACGGTACGAGACGCAGCTCCGGCGCAAGCTGCTTTGCGCGTGGGCACAGCAGTGTCGCCGTCGAGAAGGCTGGTGGCGCGCCGCAGTCGCATTCTACGATGCAACGCTACGGCGCCGCCACGTACACATCTCTCGAGTTTGCACTTGGTGGGGACGAATCGTTGCGTCTAGGTGTCATGTGTCTGGTTTGCGTGGCAGGCGTACCACCACACCAAGAAAGCACGCGTTGCGAGGACAACGCTCGCCGCTGCTCGCTGTTGGCGCGTGCGGCAGAGCCAGGCGCTCTCTCGATGGGTCGTGGTAGCGCGATCAAGGCGCTTGACTGCGTCACATACAGGTAGAGCACTACCGAGGTGATGCCAACACACACGAGTCATCTCTAGCAACGGCAACGGCACACTGGCGATGTGTGCTGTCCAGTCGCATTCTCAGCGAGTGGTCGTCGCATGTGCGGGAGACGCGCCGCCTCCAGCTGCAGTGCAGGCGCATGGGTGAGCTCTTGATGGCACGCGTCGTTGCGCAGGTGATGGCGGCGTGGATACGCTTCACCGCGACGCGTCGAGTGAAAGCCGAGATGCGGTATGCGGCCATCCGCCACCGCAATGGAATGCTGCAAGGGGTCCTCTTCCTCGACTGGTGGCAGTGGACGATGCGACAACGCCTGCAACGTCGCGCGGCTACGCATTTTGCACATAGAGTCATGTCAGTGGTATTTGCCACGTGGCGGCACTGTCTTCTACTGCGCAAGGTATTGCATGCTGCTACGATACATCGCCTCCGATCCGTATGTGTAGACAGATCGATTTCGCGCAGCCAAAGAAGGTCGCGTCGTGAGCGCGTGCTTTCAGAGCTGGCAGACTTGCTGCACAACGGCACGGTACACGATGCGTTGGCGTTCGTGGTGCGAAAACGTTGTTCGTAGACGACTGCGATCCTGCCACGTGGTCATCGCGCTCCAGCGAGATCGCACGTGCTGCAATCGTAGCTTCCAGGCATGGCGACGGTGGACGACGCTCCAGTCGCTCAGCTACGGCGCCCGCCTTGCGTACTGCGAAGCCTTGCTCTCGCGCGTCGTCACTAGCTGGCGCCACCATGTCCACGTGCATCAAGCGGCGGCGACGGTGCGATTTCAGTCCCGTCTCGTCTTGGGCCAACTCGCCCTCGATCTACACGCAACGTGGAACGCATGGCAGCGCCTCTTTCGAGCACGCCACTGGCATCGACACGCAACCTATGTCGCCGTGTGGGCTTTATGGCGCGTTTACGCCGCCGACCACAAGCGAATGCAGACGCATGCCCTCTCGATTGCGCGACGGGCGGCGACATCGTTGCAGGCGCGCGTGTTGCGTGCGTGGCACCTCCACGCCCGCCACGTCGTCCAACTCCGCCGCGCCCTTGTCGCCAAGCGTCAGCGGAAACACGTGCTCACAATGCACTTGCGGCAGCGTGGCCGGCAGCGCCGCCAAGCTGCTTTTACGCTCTGGCGCGAGGCCGTGCTCGCCGCGCGGGCTTTTTTCCACTCTTTGCAGCGCCGGCGCGACGCGCAGACGATCGCTGCGGTGTTTTCAAGGTGGCGCGGTTCCAGCGAGATCGCGCGCCGCGTGCACGAGACAAAGCGCCACATGGCGTCGTGGCGATCGCAGCGCGCCCTCCTCGCGTGGCACCGGGTGCGCATCGCCCGCGCCCATTTGCGCGTTGTGCTCGCTGTCGTGGACCGATGGCGCCGCGACCAGACGCTCCGCAAGGTCTGGCCGCGCTGGGCGGTCGCGGCCTCGCGGCAGAAACGACTTTGCCGCTTCACGCTGGCCCGCGAGCAGAAGGCGCGGCGCGAGGCCGTGCGCGGGTGGCAGTACAACATCCACGTCACTCAGCTTGCGACCAAGAGCCGCCTCTACGCTCGGCTGCGTCTCTTGAGCAAACGCTTCAACCAGTGGCGACAACAAGCGCATTGGCTGCGACGAGTGCGGGCCTTTGCGACGCGTGTGACGCGGCAGACGTGGCGGCGCGCGTACGTCCGCCATTGGCGGCTGCACACCCAACGCGCGGCGATCGAAAGTAGCGCTTGCGACTATATGGCCCAATTGCGCTGCCGTCAAGCATTGAGGGCATGGACAGCTCGCAAGGCGGACGCGACGCAGCTCCGTCGCGCGGCGCGGTGTCATATGCGGCACCTCTGGCGCCGGTGGCGGAGCGTCGCACTCTGCAGCCGTGCGTGCTGGTGGTACGAGCAGACGTTGACGCGAACCTCCATGATGTGCTGGCGCACCTATTGCATCCAAGAGCAGTCGGTTCGGTACCAGCACGCGGTGGCCTCGCGCCGACGCCTCAAGGACGCGTGGGCGACATGGCGACGATACCAATGGAAGCGACTTGCGACAGCACAAGCCCGTGCGTTTGCTCGCTTCCGCCGGCTCCAGTCGTCCGTGCTTCGACACGCTGTCGTATCGACTCATGCACGAAACTGCGTAGTGCCCTCGACGCATGGCTCTTGGGCATCGAGACACAAGCAGCCGAGACAACGTTTGTGTTATTCTAGACACGTCGGGCAAGCTCACCGTGTCGGTGTGGTTCTAGGGCGATGGAAGCCGCAGCAACAGCGTTGTATGCCTCCCAGCTACGGCGCCAGCATTTCCGTGGCTGGTCGCACGCCATGGTTCGCACCAAGGCGCAGCGCCAGCGACACAAGACCATGGTCCACACGTGGCAAGCGCTGCGACAAGAGCGGCATCTCACGCTTGTGTGGCGCGCGTGGGCGCGGGTGAGTCGCCGACATCGGGTCGTTCGCACGCACCGCGCCATCAAGCACGCTTCTGTGATGCAGGCGACGTGGCAGCACTGGATGCGGTACGTCGAGCACCAGCAGGTCCGCACCAAGCAGGTCCATTCCGCGAAGGTGCTTTGGCGCGACATCTTACTGCGCCGCACGCTGCACCATTGGCACATTTCTGTAGTCGCCAGTCGCGCCGAGGATCCGAGTGTGTCGACCCTGTGCGATATTTCAACGTAGATAATGTCATGTATAAAAGAGGGATTTACGGATAACGCCGCGCGTAGACGGCCGCGTGGGATGTTTCGCAGGCTGCCTTGAGGCGCCGGAGCCGGTCGATCTTGTCGCGCGTCGTGTACTGTGCAAAGTGCTGGCGCAGGGGCGAGGCAAAGCAGAGCTCGAACGGTGCCCCGGGGTCGTCGAGCGCGACCGTCGGGACGTGCTGCGGCATTGCATTCTGGAACGTGGTTGCTTGCGCTCGCGTTTCAAAAACAGCAATGTTTTTCAAAATCGCGCGGACGACCGTGTCTTTGAGCGCCATGTCGTGCCCCGGGGCCATCTGCACGAGGTCGAACGCGTATCCGAGACAGCCATCGACGCCATCCATCGCAGGCAGCTCAATGCTCGGCCAGTGCGGGTTTTGAAGCGGCACAAAGTTGATCGGGCCCACGTGCGTGGATCGCTTGCGGAAGCGCCGGACGTGGTCGGCCGTCTCGACAACGACCATGGCCATCGCCCCAAAGCGCTGCTTGGCGATCGCAATGCCAACCAGTGGGTCCTCAAAGTAGCACATGTCGCAAAAGACGTCGACGATCCCGTGGTTCGCCTCGGTAGCCGTGTACGCTTCGAGCGCAGAGCTCTGTGCAGCGATGCTCTGCGTGTGGCGGAGCTCGGCGTCCAGGCGATCTTGGCGCGCGGCAATGTACGAGAGCACGGACGGCATGGTCGATGGCGGGTGCACAATGAGAAATTCGGTCGCGAGCAAGCGGCGCCACACAGGCGCGTCGTACCGGTCGAGCTCCGCATGCCAGAAATGACACGTCTGCTGCAGCCGCCCGATACTGACGCCATCCAAGTACTGTACAACGTGGGCCATGAGGTCCGTCGTCAAGCCCGACGACATGTAGTAGGCGGATGTGGCAGTCGGTGTAATCGACTTGGAGGCGACGGGCGTCGGCGGCCGGGCACCGAGGTCCTTGGCGTCGTTGCCCAAGACCTTGGCGTGGAGTGCGCTCATGGCGCTGTTGGCGACGCCAAAGATGCTCGAGATGCGTGCTGCGGCCATGAGAGGAGGTTCAAGACTGCGCCTGCTTGCTGCTACCGGCCGTGGTGCCAGTGCGGCCTGTGCTGGCGCGCAGCGATTGGCTGAAATCCCGTCGGGTAACCCGCCGTATTCGCCAGCTGTTGAAAAAAATTCAGCCAATGCAACAGAAGTAGACGTGCCGTGGCGCCACGTCATTAAAATGACCATCACTCTCGCCACGCTTCGAGCAACGACACCAAACGCTTCCAGCGACAAAGAATTAGTGCCATCTCCAGCGGACGACCACCACGTCGACGAGCGCAGAGTCATTACCTTCCTTTCAACGCCATATTTGATCATTCATTTCCATATATATGCATTCAATTCCATAGTTTAGTCGGCCTGGCACCACCGTGTGGTCATATTGTCTTCTTACAGCACCGAGCCGTGCAGCGCAATCGAGCGACACAAGGGACAAGTCGTTCCGTTTTGAACCAGCGGAGAAGGCACATTTCGTGGAAAGTGTGGCCGCACGCAGTCGACAGGCTCGCATCTGCGCCAAGAGGGTCCAAGCAGATGGCGCACTCGTGCGGTGCTTTGGCCGGTGCGGCGCTCCGCCGGTATGGTAGTTGGAGAAACGTCGCGGCGAGGTAGCTCGGACCATATGCGCCGCTAGGCTCGGCGACTGGTAGCCAGCGCGCGAGCTCGGCTGTGAAGGCTGGGAGGCCCCGGAGACGCTCGTCTACAACACTCTTGTTGTCGACAGCAAACACAAAGCGGCGGCGCGGGAACGCGGCTCCAACGACGGTTTTAAGCGCCGCGTGGCCTGCGGTCGCAAACTCCTTGAGGCGCTGGCGCAAGGCGTAGAAGTGCGAGTAGCGACGGTTCAAGATCCACCACGCCTTGGAGCGCGGACAGACAACGACGAGCCGGTAGCTCATGTACGCGTCGGAGCCCGCGACGTTGCCTTTCGTGCACGTCAGGACCAAGGTCGCGCCGAGGCTGTGGACGCGCGGCGCTGGGTCGTGGTCGGGCGATTTCATCGAACGTTGCACACTGGCCACTAACTCTGGCCGAACGTGGCGAGATTTTGGCATCGCTTTTGTTCGCCTTGTAAAATCAAACAAATGGGTTCCAGCTGCTACTGCTGCGATGGAACGCATCCCACCGAGCTCCTTGGGCTTGGCTACACCACGCTCGACGTCTTGACAACCCGTGTGAACGATGACATGCCTTGAAACGGAGCAGCTAGGGATGGACGCGTCCAATTTTTAACAACTTGACAATGCAAGAGTGTCCTGCGCAAATCACCAAAGTCGTTCAAGGGTAGTGCCAAGGAAGACACTAGTGGTGCGCTAAAAGATAGATTCGGAACAAGCGACTGCTCTCTACACGAGTTGTCGCTAGTGTAGTGCACACCATGTCAACACCGACGGGCGATAGAAGCGTACACGTCGGTCGCTCGTCTTACACGGCCTGCGCTTCGGCACTCGGTTTCGCGTGCTTGGGGTTCTTGAGCGGCATCTCGTCATCGCCGACGTCACGACGCTCCACCACGTGTAGAAGGGTGGCATCATCTCGTGGTGTCTCCTAACCGTGCACGTCGACCAGGCAAGGCTTGTCGCTGGCTACGGCACCGAGTCCATCGACGATGGCACCACGTCGGTCGGCTTCTTCAAGGTTCCAAACGCGTGGGGCGCCAACTGGGGCGAGCACGGCCACCTTCGACTCCAAGGCGGGCTCAACCGCGAGGCCGGCACGCGCAAACTCGCCAGGTACTTAGCCTACTCGATGCTGCCGTCGTCAGCAGGCGTCGATGCAACGCCAACAACGATCCCGCGCACTCCAAAGCTGACGACCCGCCGCGTGCGTGCCGATCGACCACGATCGACGTCGAGAACGCGGCAACTTGAGCGAAGAGAGCACGCGATCGTGCCACGTAGGATTTGAAACGTCGATACCTCGATAGTAGCGTTGAAATCAACCCAGCGAACAATCCAACTCTTGTGCACGTCCCTCGCTCGTCTTGCGAGATGCATGCCCCGTGCATCGGCAGCCCCGTAGGGCGTCCTCTTGCTCTGTGCTTCCGCGGAGCTTTGTTAAAAAAAGATCTTGCGGGCAGCACGAATGGTTCGAATCGCCATATCGTGAAGTAGTACCCGGCGCTTCTTGCGTTGAATCGACGCTTCGACCAGCCCCACCGGCAGGTTTCCTTGCACGCGACGCACCACCTCTCTCAACCACCACGCAAGCTCCGTCGTCATGCGGCAGACACTGCGCTTCTTCGGGCGCGCGCACCATTACGCGCTTCCTCCCAACGATGGAAATGGTCGCCAGGTCCTTTGGCAAAACTCTTTCATCTACAAAGTGTTCTGTGTGTTGTGAGGGAATATCCGCCAAACGTTTAAAATGAAGCTGAAAGGCAGGGGTATTCTCTACCAACAGGGGTGTCTGTCGCGAGTATCTTGGTTGGCGCGGGTGTAGCCGGTCACGTTGAAGTTAAAACGGTCGAGCGCATGGTGAGCGTCGTCAGACTCGGCGAACTTGTGCTTTCTGGTCCACTCGGACGAGCCAACTCAACATGAACGCTCATTTTGCTTTCGCCTCTCTTCTGCGCACCACCATCCAGCACCATGAGCTCGGCGATCACGGCATGCTTCCAGCGTCACTGGACGGTCGAGCCGCCGGCAAAGACGCCAGAGGAAATCGAGGCCGAAAAATACCTCATCTGCATCCCGCTCTGGGGCAACCGGTTCCTCACGGTCAAGTCGATCCCGTTCAACCGCTGGTACCTCTTCGCCGCGTCGTTCCTCTGCCAATTCTGCTGCGGCTCGCTCTACTCGTGGTCCATCTACAACGTCCCGATCGACACGTACATCTACGACGACCCGAAGGCCGGGAAGGCCGTCTACACCTTCTACATGGCGTGCGGTCTCCTCGGTAGCACGGCCGCGGTCCTTGGCCCGTGGCTTGAGCGCAACGGCCCGCGCCGCGGCCTCTTCCTCGGTGTCTCCATGTTCTGCGCCGGCTACGTCATCGCCGCCATCTCGCTCTGGGCCAAGTCGATCATTGGCATCTACATTGGCTACGGCATCATTGGCGGCTTTGGCCTAGGCATCAACTACATCTCGCCCGTCTCGGCGCTCCAGAAATGGTTCCCGGACATGCGCGGTACGGCGGCTGGCTTTGCGGTCGGCGGCTTTGGCGCGGGCTCCATCGTCTGGGGCAAGGTGTACCTCCCGGCCGCGAAAGCGTTTGGTCTCCCCGGCTCGTTCGTTTTCCTCGGTGTCTTCATGTCGACAGTCATGTTCGGCTGCGCGGTCGTCATGCGCACACCGCCGCCGGGCTTTACCGCCGCCGGCATGGACATCCACGGCGTCCAGGAGTCGAGCAAGCTCCACGAAGACTCGACGCTCGCCGAGTCGCCCAAGCACGGCGAGGTGGGGTGCGTGCAGTACACGGAGCTCTCGGAAGCGCATGGCCGCCAAGTGCACGCACCGACCATTTCGGTACACGAGCTCAACCAGGACAACTACAAGAACGTCAAGAGCCTCAAGCTCATCGACTGCCTTCTCTCGGCCGACTTTTTCTTCATGTACTTTATGCTGGCGGGCAACATCGTCTTTGGCCTCGTCGCACTCTCGCGCCTCTCGTCGATGGCGACCGAGATCTTCAAGCAGACGCCGGACGAAGCCGCGACGGTCGTCGCGATCAACGGCGCGTTCAACTGCTGCGGCCGCCTCTGCGTGCCCATGGTCTCGGACGTCCTCGCCCGCAAGTTCAAGCTCAACCCGCCCTTCACGCGCAAGATCATCTTCTTCTGCACGCTCACGATCCAGATGGTGATTCTGCTCACGATGCCCAGCATCATGCGCGAAGCCGACTACGACAGCTTCCGTGCCGAGATCTGGGTGCTCACGCTCTGCTACGGCGGCGGCTTTGGCACGATTCCCGCCTTCCTCACCGACATGTTTGGCGCCTACAACATTGGCGCGCTCCATGGCTTCGTCCTCACGGCGTGGTCGATCGCCGGCGTCGGCGGTGGTCTCGGCTTTACGTTCTACTACAACGACCTTGTCAAGAACCAAGGCGTCTCGATCCCGGAAGCGTACATTCAGAACATCCACTGGATCGTCGCGACCGTCATTGTCGGCTACGTCGCGCTGTTTGGCGTGCGGACCAACCCCATCGACCGCTTCGCACCGGGCTACCAGTACAGCATCTGCGGCAAGCCCGTCCTCCGCATCGGCGCGACGCCCAAGACCCACTGCCCCGTGTAAGCAGCCTTCCGCCATCTCCTTGTCTCAATATTGTACTACGTGCTCTTTCAACCTGAATAATCCCATCCATCGTGCGTGAACCCGACCGTGTTAGTACCCTTCTAGCTTATGCATGGAGGACTCGCATGCGCTCTGGCAGACCACGGCGAGCGCTTCGATAATCGCACGCCAGAAAAACTGGTCGTCGTCAAGCAGCAGATGGCCATGACCACAGTAGGATGCGATGCCACGTGGCCAACGATACTATCCAGAGCCTCGGCCTCGACGTGGTAGACAGCCTACGCTTCCTTCATGGCCTCGTGCATGCTGCGTAGCAAGGCGCTTGCTGGCCCGCGCGCCGACGGACCTCCGAAGGTATAGCTTCCGCGATCGGCGGCAATGCCTATCGTACTGCGTAGCTCGACGGCGGCCGCGGCGCTCTACGGTGCTTAGCGAAAAGGCGCTGAGGCGCCTAAGAAGACGCGCTACAAGCAGGACCTCGCGGCCTTTGACAGCATCGAGACGCGCTGTGACGTGTTTGTCAAGGCTGTCAGTTGACAAAAGGTGCTGACCTTTACCGGTATGTCCCTGCTGGCTGGGGTGCGGATCGAACCCACGACCGCTCGACTTTTGGCCTAAAGTACTCGTCTCAATACCGTCAAAGTACGTTGTGCAATGGATCAATCTAGAAAAACCTAACCCTATGGGGGTAGGGCTGCAAGGTCACGACCGAAACCATGACATGCACCGCCTGCTACCACATGGCAACGTCGTCTCGGCGAGCGCACGGACGGTCTGACAGCTCGCGGCCCAAGACAAGGCGCAAGTATCGACCGTGTCCCGTGTTCTTGTGACCCAACCGCAGCCATCCCAAAGGGCGTTGAAGAGTGCCCACTCCACATGTTGTACGAGACCAACAAGGACCGATTCAAGAACGGTCCCAGTGGCTCCGGCATCACCGCCTACGACAAGGTAATCACCAAGTGGAACGAGCTACAGTCGAGCACGGACCCAGTGGCTCAGGCGTGACGACCTGCATGAAGGCAGTCAACGCATATATACAGTCAATACCATCAATACAGTCATCCATTGAAGGCTGCATGCAGGGTCATGCTGGCCTGGAAGCACTTGTGAAGACGCTGGCGGCGGACTCCTGGCAGCGGATCATGCTGCGTAAAGACGAGTGTGCTATGCGGCCGCGAAGCTGGCGCCGCGCTGAAAGCTTGAAGTGACGCACGGTCCCTCGGCTCTCCGGAAAGAAGGCGTGTTCCACAGCTTGATAAATCGATACTCGGTATGGGGCTTTTATAGGTTACCGCTATGCATGGATACATTGCAAACAGCTGACGCGGCAGACGATGACGCGATGGCAGCGTTCGATGCTCTCCTTCTCGACAGCTTGCGTCGCTTGGGCAACCGTCCTCGTCATCGCGTCCATCACAGTTTCGAGGCCAGCATCGCTCTGTAAACAATCTGTCTTTTGAAGGCATTATCAACCAAGAGCCATGGATTTCTACCCAGAGAACGATACGTCAATGTGACCATCGAGGGTTTGGGGCGATCGCAACGGAATGCATGGACACGGAGTAGGAAGATTTTGGACAGATTGTCTCATTGAAGCGAGTTTAGACAATGTACTATGGAAGCGGCGTATATATAGAAAGCGGAGGTACTACCGGTGCTTGAGGATGTGCAGAGTGTTGTCGATGCGCTTGAACGTGTTGTTCATGCACTGAATGACGAGGTCGTCAAAGGCGGCGGCGGCCTCTTCGTCCGTCTTTTCTGGCGTCGAGACGTCGACGAGGTAGTTGACGTCGTCGCGGTGGCGCAGCTCCGGCATCTCGGCCGGGATCATGAGCACCAAGAGCGAAACAAGCAGGTGCAAGTGCCTTCGCACGACGTTAAACGCGTCGCCGCACGTTTTTTGAAATTTGACAAAGTCGGGTGTCCCGACGCCGCCAAACACGTGCGCCATCTCGGGTGTAAACACGAACGGCGTCTTCTCGCGCTTGATGCCGTACTAGAATCACGGCATTTTACTCTCATCCGTGCATGCTGGTTGGTACCTGGTACTTCATAAAGCCCAGGAAATGGCCGAAATCAATGTGGAAATACCGGCCTTGCTTGGTGATCTACACCATCCATTCTCATCAAACATATGTATGTTGGTGAGAATTGATAGACCATAATGTTGTCGTTGTGGCGATCGCCAATGCCAAGGACGTACGTCGCAACGCAGTAGCCCGCGCACGACCGCAAGAAGAGGTCAACCGCGACCCGGTAGCTGCGGGCGTCGCCGTTGTTGGCTTGGATCCAATCCAGAAAGCTCACATCGTTGAACGCGCCAAAGATACCGCCCATGGCGCCACCCCGCTTGTGCACGGCCGCGGTCGTCACCGAGTGCAAGACGACCTGCAACATGCCCGTCATGGGGCCCGTCGAGACGCACTTGTACGGCTCCATGGCGAGGTCTTTCCCGTCTTCCCGCCACATTTCGTCCATCAAGCGGATGAGCTGCAGCGTGAGGCAGTCCTGGCGCACGTCGTCGCCGGCCTTGAAGATGATGATGACCGGGTCGCCGCCTTCCTCGGCGTTTTCAAACTCGAGCCAGAGGGGCAATTTGGCCGACGACATGATCTTGCACTTCTTGACAACGATCTTGCCAACCTCGACGCGCGAGTCGAGCGGCAGCTGGTACGTCGCGGGGAGGGTGCCGTTGAGCTCCTCGAGACGTTGTTGCATGGTGACCTTGATCTCGTCTTTGGTTCTTCCACTGTGGTGCAAGGCCTTGACTTCTTGGCAGATTTGCTCAAACGCGCCCTTCTCCGAGAAGAGTTTGTCCTGGAGCTGCAGAATCGAGCGCATCTTGTTGGAGCACACATCCAAGTATGTGTTGAGGAGCACGCCGTAGCGTTCGCGGACTTGGTCGTTGTACGACTCGACCTTCATGCTCCAGAAAAGGTCAAAGCCGATCTGGTTTGGGTTCTTGATCGCGCGCTCAATCAAATGCTTGGCGAGCGGCGACACGTGATGGCTCTCGTACTTGAGTGCTTGGACCAGCTGCGGCAGAAAATAGCTGAACGTCGTGTCGGCCATCTCGGCGAGCTTGTCGACGGCAAACTGCCGGACTGTCTCGTGCGCAAACTCCTTGTCGAGAAGGATGATGTACGAAGCCGGGTGCGACGCTTGCGCCCACTGCGGCAGGAGCGTGAGCATCTCGTGTACGTCCGATGGACAGAGCCAATTGACGCACGACAAGACGTGCCGAAGCGCCTCGAACGACGTCATGAACTGATATCGGTTGCGCCACAGCACCGCTTTCTGAAAATCGCTGAGCTGGAAGAGCGGGTCCCGCTGAATGATGTGGCGGAGGTCGTCCATGGCCTCGGCGGTGTCGCCGTTGGCGACGAGCTTGATGGCGAGCGCCCACTCTTCCCGCTCCTGGCGCGTCGTGGCCGACATGACAAACTCGCGCGCACTGTCGGCGGCCTTGAGCTTGAAGACCCACGTGCTCTGCTCCTTGCGCGTGCCTTTCGAGACCGCGAACGTCGTGTAGCGCTCGTTCAGCTCGTCGGCGTTGAGCACTTGAGCGCCGACGAGGTTGATGGTAAACTTGGCCGGCGCCGACGGGTTCTCGGCGTACGAGAGCGTATTCGTCGCTTGGCTCAGCGTAAAGTACCGCATTTGCCACTTGGTGAGTTGGTGGTGCTTGCCCGTTTTCTTGAGCCAGCCCGTCTTGAGGACCGCCTCGCTGCGCGACGAGACGTCGCCGAGCGCGTGCTCGGTCCAGTCAAACTTGATGGGCCCGTTGTACGAGGTCAACGTCATCTACAAACGATTCGCCATGGTCTTTGGCCGCAAACGAGTCCTACCTGAATAAGCGGGCGGTCGAGATCGACGACGTGCGGCAGCGGCCCCGAGCTGCATGTAAACAAGTTCTCAAGCATACCGACGTACTGGTCGCCTTGGAGAAAGAGTCCGTCGACGTCAAAGAGGTTGATGCCGGTGGTGAGAATGCGGTCGTACGAGGCAACGTCGGCGCCGGGCGCGCGGATACCGTAGAGGGTCACGACGACCCGCGTCGACTTTGGGAGTTGGCTAATGCGCAAGCTGCTGCGAAACCACTTGGGCTCGACCCACATGGCAATCAGGCCGTCGTTGGCTTGGGCTTTCAGCGTCGTGTCGGGCGTCTCGCCCAGCGTCTCGAGGAGGAGGCCGCCATTGAAGATCTCGACGCTTGCAACGACGTTGGCAAACAGCAGTGGGCGACGCTCCGACACGATCTCATGCGCGGTGCGACGGAGGTGGGTCGTGTAGCGCGGGATGTTGAGCACGCGTTGGATGCAAATACGGAGTGGCTCGTCATAGTGACAGCTCTTGTTGGCGGAGCCCATCGACTGCGGCGACAACACCGGTGCAGCCGTTGGAGGATGGTGGTGTTGGGCGTGGTGGGGATCTTGCCAATCGTTGCCGAGCGTGGTCATGGCAATCTCGAGCGACCGCGTCGACGTTGCAAACGTCGGCTCGTCGTAAATGTTGCCGCCAAGCATGCTCCGCCGCAGCGCTTCTTGGATTTTGGACTCGTGGACGAGCGTGAGACAGAGTGTCTTTTTGTGATGAGACACTCGCGCACGTGCTGGTACGTGCAGATCTCTTGCTTGCGGTCGATCATATAGTCGCGGAACCCCGTGAGCTTGAGCACGTACTCCTTCGGGTCGTACGGGTGCAGTGGCGTCGCGTCCAGCATGTTGTTGTAGCAGTCGAAGATGTGCTCGACCGTCTCCTGCACGGTGTACGTCGGCAGCGTGATCATGCGCACTTCGTTTGGGCCCGTCGCGCTCACTTCGGCGAGCTGGAGCATGCGCCGGTAAATGATGTTGACACAGTGAAAGGCCACCGAGTTGCAGAGATGTTTGACCCAGAGGTCGTACTCAGCCTCGGACTCGGCCTGCATCGTCCACGTCCGGTTGGTCGTGACGAGGTCGATGCCATACTGGAGCGTCGCGCCTTTGACGATGGTCGGCTGGATCGCCGAGACGACGTCGAGCTCGATCTGGCCGCGCAGCAAACTCGCCTTCTCGTCGTTGCTCATGCGCCGGCCGCTCTTCTCGGGCTTTTTCTTGTAGTACTTGAGCACCTTGTTCTCGAGCTCCATGTAGCGTCTCTTCATCGCTTTGTTGTTCTCGCCGCGCTTCTTGAGCCAGCCGGCAAAGACGGGCCCTGCACACTCGGCGCTCACCGCCGCCGGGTCGAGCTTGAGCAAGTGCATCGGCAGCCGCGCCACGGTCTTGACCGTCGTCGGCGCGACGTTGAGGCCGTTCTTGTGGGCGATCCAGTCGTCGCTCTCGAGCCGGTACTCGGGCGTATTGGCGCGAATCTCGAGCGTCTCGGTCGAAATGTGCGCGTGCACGTCCTTGAGAATCGCGCCGACCGCCTGCCGCAGCGCCAATGTCTCCTTGGAGTGGACCAGACCGGGCACCGGCTGCCAGCGCGTCATCGAGTTGGAGCGCGCGAGGGTCGCGCCAAAGTGGGCAAACGGGTTGAGGTCGCTAAACGACGGTAGCCGCACCGACGGCGCCAACGAGAGCGACCGCTGACTGCTGAGGCTCGACGACGACACGGACCGCCGCACCGACGCCGCGTTGTACATCATCATGGCGGCAGAAATAACTGTACGAACGGAACGTCGTTTGGAGCCACGGAGAGCCAACGCCCAAAACGGTGCCATCGAAGATATAAATTCGGTTGCACCATGCCGCCAACGTCATGTGCGATCGCGGATCGTGGCTCTGGCATGCAGCGCTGGCCGTCACCCCGAGACGGTCTCGTGCTGCGACAGCAGACTCGCGCTGGAGTCGAGGCACAAGACAACGATGGGTGGTTGCATGCACTAAGAATTTAGATTCACGCCACGTGTCTTATTTGTGTTTCCAAATGTGCAACGCGTTGTCGACACGCTTGAACGTGCTCTTCATGGACTGCACGATGAGCGCGTCAAACATACTCGCCACGTCCTCGTCGCGCTTGTCGGCGGCGAGCACCGTCACGATGTGGTTAATGTCCTCGCGCTGACGCAGCTCGGGCATCTCGGCCGGAATCATGAGCAGCAAGAGCGCGACCAGCAAATGCAAATGCCTTCGCACAATGTTGAGCGACTCGCCGCAAAGCGCTTGGAACGTCACAAAGTCCGGCTTCCCGATCGGCTTGCCGTCGGGCTTGCCGGGGCCGCTGAGCACGTAGCCCATCTCGGGCGTAAACACGAACGGCGTCGTCTCGCGCTTGATACCAAATTGATACTTGGAAAAGCCCAGAAAATGGCCGAAATCAATGTGAAAGTACCGGCCCTTTTGTGTCATCTAAAGACGACGATCCTCATGAGCACAGACACCAAAAGCAGACGACGTACCATGATGTTGTCGTTGTGGCGATCGCCAATGCCAAGGACGTACGTCGCAACGCAGTAGCCGGCGCACGACCGCTGGAAGAGCTCGACCGCCGCCTTGTAGCTGCGCGAGTCAGGCGCGCCGTTGTTGGCCTGAATCCAGTCGTAAAAGGACGCGTCGTTGAAGGCGCCCGTGACGCCGCCACCGCGCTTGTGGATCGCCGCGGTTGTGATGGCGTGTTGGACGACTTGGAGGATACCGGTCATGGGGCCCGTCGAGACGCACTTGTACGGCTCCATGGCGAGATCCTTGCCTTCGTCGCGCCACATTTCGTCCATCAAGCGGATGAGCTGCAGCGTGAGGCAGTCCTGGCGCACGTCGTCGCCGGCCTTGAAGATGATGATGACCGGGTCGCCGCCTTCCTCGGCGTTTTCAAACTCGAGCCAGAGGGGCAATTTGGCCGACGACATGATCTTGCACTTCTTGACCACGATGCGGCGGACTTCGACACGCGGATCAATCGGCAGCTGGTACGCCGACTGGAGCGACTCGTTGAGTTCGTCGAGGCGCTGATGCAAGAGCGCCTTCATCGCGTCCATCGACTTGTTTGTGTGCGGAGGGTCTTGATTTCTTGGCAAATCTGCTCAAACACGCCCTTCTCCGAGAAGAGCTTGTCCTGCAGCTCGAGGATCGAGCGCATCTTGGTCGAGCACACGTCCACGTACGTGTTGAGGAGGAGGCCGTACCGCTCCTTGTACTGCTCGTTGTACGACTCGACCTTCATGCTCCAGAAAAGGTCAAAGCCGATCTGGTTTGGGTTCTTGATCGCGCGCTCAATCAAATGCTTGGCCAGCGGCGACACGTGGTGGTTCTCAAATTTGAGCGCTTGGACCAGCTGCGGGAGGAAGACGCTGAACGTCGTGTCGGCCATCTTGGCGAGCTTGTCGACGGCAAACTGCCGGACGTCTTCGTGCGCAAACTCCATGTCGAGGAGCTCAATGTAGCCCGCGGGGTTGGCCGGGTCGGCCCACTCGGACAGGAGGCTCACAATCTCCTTGATGTCGTCGGCGTTGGACCAGTTGACGCACGTGAGCACGCGCGGCAGGTACGCAAATGAGTTCATAAAGTCCCGTCGTGACGCCCACATGATGCTCTTCTGGAACGAATTGAGCCGGTAGAGCGGGTCGTGGTCGATGAGCGTCCGGAGCTCGTCCAGCGCGCGCTCGAGGCCTTCCTGGGACGTGGTCATGCGCGACGTGATCGATCGGCGCGGGCTCGAGCGCGCATCGCTGCTGCGGCTCTGCTCGTCGTCCGAGACGTCGGCGTTGGCCAAAATACGCAGCGCGCTGACCCACGCCTGGCGCTCTTGGCGGCTGTTGGCACTGAAAATGTACTCACGCGTCGTGTCGGCGGGCTTGACCTTGAAGACGTACGTCTCTTCTTCGCGGCGCGTCGAGACCGTGAGCACAGACGTGATCTTTTCGTTGAGCTCGTCCGCGAGGATGATGGCTGCGTTCGTCAGCGGGATGTGGTGCTTGGCCGGGCCGTTCTGGAGTTCGCCGTACGAGAGCGTCGCGGTGTCTTGGCTGAGCACGCACCACCGGCGCTGCCACGACGTGAACGTGTGCATCTTGCCGGTTTTGCGGAGCCAGCCGGATTTTTCCAGCGACTCGATCGACGAGAGCCGTTGCTGGCTCGCGCTGCTTGGGAAGTCGCCGCTCGCATTGACCGTGCTCCAGTCAAACTCGATCTCGCTGTGGTATTGGGCCAGCGACATCTAATCACGACAGCAGCTGAGTGTCACGGCATGCGGGACAAGGATAGGTACGTGGAGGAGCGGCATGTCCGGGTCGACGACGTGCGGCACGGGCCCGCGGTGGCACTGGTACAGGTTCTCGAGCAGCTGCACGTACTGCTCGCCTTGCACGATGAGCCCGTCGACGTCAAAGATGTTGATACCCGTCGTCAGGATGCGCTCGCGCTCGACGTTGTTATTGTTGCTGGCGGACGGGCGACCGGCGCCGACGCTGACGCCGTACACCGTCAAGACGAGCCGCGCCGTGCGTGGGATCTCGCAAATCTTCATCTTGGTGCGGAACCAGCGGGGCTCGAGCCAGAGCCCGATGAGCGACTTCACCGGTGGGTTGCCGCGCGGCGGGAGGCCCTTGAGCCGAATGTCGGAGGTTTCGCCAACGAGCTCGAGGCGCGAGCCCGCGTTGTAGAGCTCGATGGTCACAACGCAGTTGGAATACAAGAGCGGGCGCTGCTCGACCCCCATCTCGTGCGCCGTGCGCGCCAAGTGCGTCGTGTACGTCGGAACGTTGAGCACGCGGTTGATGCAGAACCGGAGCGGCTCGCGGTAATGACAGCTCTTGCCGACGCTGCTGGCGTCATCGGTTTGGTTGTTGGCGTCGGTCCAATCGCCGCCGAGCGTCGTGTAGTTGGGCCGCGTCGATCGATGGGGCCGCGAGAGCAGGTCGATCGGACGCAAGTCGACGCGCTTGAGCAGCGCCTCCTTGATCTTGCTCTGGTGGACCAGCGTAAGACAGAGTGTCTTTTTTGTGAGGAGACACTCGCGCACGTGCTGGTAGTTGCCGACTTCTTGGTTGCGGTCGATCATATAGTCGCGGAACCCCGTGATCTTGAGCACGTACTCTTTCGGGTCGTGCGGATGCAGTGGCGCCGCGTCCAGCATGTTGTTGTAGCACTCGAAGATGTGCTCGACCGTCTCGCCGACCGTGTAGTTGGCCAACGTCACCATGCGCACCTCGTTCGGGCCCGAGACGCTCACCTCGGCGAGCTGCAGCATGCGCCGGTAGTAGCCGTCGACCGAGAGAAAGTTAACCGACGTGCAGAGCGCGCGGACCCACTCGTCGTACTCGCCGTCGGTCTCGGCCTGCAAGTACCACGTGCGCTCGGTTGTGACGAGCTCGATCATGCGGTTCGTCTGCGCCGTCGAGCCGGGCCGCACGGACGAGACATTGTCGAGCTTGATGCTGCCTTTCGGCTTCTCGCGACCGAAGAGGTCGCGCTTGTGGTACGTCAAGACGCGGTTCTCGAGCACAAAGTAGCGCCGCTGGAGCGCCGTGTTGGTCTCGCCGCGCTTCTCGAGGTACCCTGCCATCGTCACGCCCATCGTGTCGGGCAGCACCGACGTGTTCGGGTCCAAGATAAGGAGACCCATCGGGAGCCGCGCGACGGTCTTGAGCGTCGGCGTGATGTTCATCTTGGTGTTGGCGTGGGCCAGCCAATCGTCCTTCTCGAGGCGGTATTCCGGCGTGTTGGCGCGGATCTCGAGCGTCTCGGGCGAGACGCGGCCGTGCACCGCCTCGAGAATCTCGCCAACGGCTTGACGAAAGGCCAGCGTCTCCTTCGAGTGCACGAGGCCCGGTACCGGCTGCCAGCGCGACGACTCGCGCCGGCCGTGGTGCGCGAACGGGTTGAGGTCGGAGAAGCTCGGCGTTCGCGCGGAGGCGGCCATCGAGTAGCTCGCCATCGAGCTCCGGCTGCTGGCCATGCTGTCTTGGTTCGACACCATCTGCGCTGCCTCGTCCAGGCGCCTAGCCAGTCCCCAAATCGAAATTGACCTCGGCCGTGACACGACGCTGACAACCCTCGCATCCGGATATAGGGTATCGTATCCGGACACGTAAAAGACGCGCGGGCTCTCGTCGCAAGCAAGTGCTGGCCACATTGTACGATCCATCTACCTCTGCTACGCTTCCTGCTTGTCCTTGGCCTCGTATCGCCGATATGGTACGTCCGTGAGATGGCTCCAGTGCTAGAGTTGCGTGTTTTTCTGCGAGAATACGATGTTTGCACAATCCACCCACCAATCCACCGGCGCACCAGTTGCTTTGGTCTGGTAGAGACCGTTCTTGCTTATTGTCCTAAATACAACTATCCTATAGTAGACCTGCCCTATCCGATCGTCGTCATGAGGGCGGACAATGCGCATGTCGTCCATGGGGCCAAGCCGAGAAAGGACGGGTTTGTGAGGAAGAAGCCGAGTGACTGCACGTCGAAACGCAACAAGCAAGCTTCGAGAACCGTCGGTGCAGCCGCCACAACCATCATCAGAGTACCCACAAGCCTCGGCATGTCGTGCGCGAGAACATCAACAAATCGAGGCAGAGGGATCGGTCGGACTTCCACAGAGCGACGAGACTTCTTCGGGACATAACGTTAGCCACTGTGTTAGCGTTGGTAAAGGTAAACTTGGGATTCAGTGACCGTCTGATTTGTGACATCCATCATCCCGATCATCCAAGCCGATTCCAGTCGCCGGTTGCGCTTATATTTGGAGAAAAGTATGCTCGGTAGCTGCGGTACAAGTCGCATGCGTGGAATCCAAGCAAAGTCCCGCTCCACGGTGACGATGGTGATGATGATACAGGAAAGGGACCAGTAGGTCAAGCTAGAAATCGAATGGCGGTGCGGTGCGTCTACACCATGCGCGCGATGAAGACGACCGTGTCGCATGCACCATGGTTGCACAGGTTTGTGAAACGACGTTTGGGAAATGGATGGACAGGAGGAAAGGAATATGTAACGGTCTGCACTCGCAAGCTGCCACGTACACAGACACCTTTTGATGGCGGATCAGGAGGACCGTAGATTTCTGCATCAGGTGCGTGTGGTGTGGGTAACGATCCAACCAGCGTGCCGGTCGAGACGCGATACCAGACGATTGTACGAATTGGGGTCCGATGACGTGGCAAAACGAGCGTCCAGAATACGTAATGTACCGTCAAGCATCTCGTCAACAGTACGTACGACCGGCTTCAGCACTTGGCCCCTTCAAATTGGGCGCCAATTTCGTGTTGGGTGAGCTCTTGTGTCTCTCGCGGGTCGCTTGAAGGACTGCAGTCCGGTTGTCATGCTGACGCATCGGATCAATGAGAGCCCTGCGTGCGGTTGGAGACGGGGCAAATACGCTACTGGGATGCTTTATGCCATCCAGGCTTTGTGCATCTGCAGTCGCCCGACAATTTTACGTCGCGGTTGGCCATGCCGTCGCGTTCTCGGTCGGCGAGTGCAAAATCCAGTCGTCAGGGATGCGTGTGGCGCGTCAGACCTTAAATCATGTTGAATCCGACTTGCCGATCGTATGGTACTGGTGATTGTTGCTATCCACGCACTAGGTGCGACGCTGGTGCGATATGTGCAAAGTACAGCCGACTCTTCTTCGCCACAGGACAATGTACATTACACAACGTGCCTTAAAGCCAGCGCGCATCCCTTGCTAAAACCAGCCCACACAACTCGGCCCTACGTCGCCATGCACGTCGGACGCAGAAACGACTGTGAGGCAGAGAGTCTTCTTGGTTGTGCAGCACGCTCGCACGTGCGGGTGGCCATCCAAGTATTGGCTCCAGTCAGCCAAGTAGTCGTGGCCGTCAACGAGAAGGACATAGTCATTGAGCTTGTACGGGTGCAGCGGCACACGGCCGAGCTTGCACTTGTAGCACTCGAAAATGTGTTCGATCGTCTCGCCCACCGTGTACATGGGTAGCACCACGAGTTGCACAGCGTTGAGCGCGGCGTCACTCACTTCTGCGAGCTGCAGCATGCGCCGGTAGAACCGGTCGACGACGTCAAAGCTCACCGAGTGACAAATCGCGCGGACCCACTCCTCGTACTCGGCGTCAGTTGCGGCTTGGAGGTGCCACGTCCGCGTGGGCGTCACGAGCTCCAGCGTGCGCTCGGTGGCTGGTCGCACGCTCGAGACTGCATCCAGACGAATCGTGCCTCGGATCTGGTCCTTACCAAAGAGCGTGCGCTTCGAATACGTCAAGACGCGGTCTGCGAGAGCAAACGACCGCTGCTTGAACGCTGTGTGCAGCTTTCCGCGCTTGCGGAGGTACCCGCGCAAGCAAGGGTACATCGGTTCGGCGGCCATTGAGGCAACCTGCGACGAGTTCAAGGCCAGGAGACCCATAGGAAGACGCGCGACAGCCTTGATCGCGACCGGAGGTGTGCTCTGTTGCCCCATGCTTCTTCCCATATGACCAGTCGTCCAGACTCAGCCGCCACGTAGTTGTATCAACGCTCTTGGTTGGATGCTGCACATTTCACGGCAGGATCAAGGGAAACGCACACCCACAAAATTTGAAAAATTCGCGGAAAATGGTGAAAATATTTCTCTTGCTTGCGGTTGTTGTGCCTGCCGCCTCGAAAGCTAATAGAATTCCCTTGTACCCAGACAGCGGAAATGGTCCAAGACTCACTGATAGACTAGAGAATAGAATTCCCTTGTACCCAGACAGCGGAAATGGTCCGTCCGCAAGACTCACTGATAGTACGAGCATGAAGGAATCTGCACGGCCCCAGCGTTCTGAGCCCATGCTATTCAATTCAGTGTGCCGAGGAGTTGCGAAGCAGACATGATCGTAGGCCAAGTGCGTGACACCGTGGCGGTGTGGAGCGGTGCACGTTTTGTTTGATGTGTGATGAGGGGGAAGGGCACCCTCGCCGTCGGCTAATGTAAATTGTTTAATCGGTTGGTATGTTTAACGTGTGGGTTTCGGGTCGCACGCGCTATTTCCAGACGATGTCGCTAGGAGAGCTGTACAGCAGCGCCCACGCCACCAAGAAAACACCTCGGTTGGTATTCCCGTCCCACCATTGACCATCGTCCGAGATCTTACAATGTCAACCCCGTCTGAATCTACACGAGATAGCACATCTCCGAGGGCGCGGTGCAGTCGTCCAGCGCTGTCGTCACCACCGTTTGTTCTGGGAACACACCGGCATCCCCACACCGTTGGCTACGCTGTTGGCTTCTGGATTTGAATTGAAAGCCTCTCCAATCGATACGACACGTGACGGCCACCTTGCCGAGCTTGCCATGCGCGGTTTCAGTCGGTCGATCAGAAACCCAACGTGAGTCGGGTAAGCCAGCTCTTGCCGCCACCCCTTTGGTTGCCTCACAGCTCGCGCACAGTAGTAGTAGCTCCTCCGTACACCAACGGTACCATCATCAATTGACACATCTTGATTGTTGTCGCTTGTAGCTCTTGCATACCGTCGCTACGCGACATCTAAGCCATGTAGCAAACATCTATCACCATCCATTCGATGGTCTATGCTAAAGTACGTATGATAGAGTGCACATCCCTGCTCAAAATACAGCAGTGCCAGCGGAAGGAGGGATCAGTCGCAAGATGACAAGTGGCCCGTCGGCGGCATGGAACTTGCCTCTGGCTTCTCACCTCTGGCTTCTCACTGAAAAACTGGAAATGGGGCAAAGGAGCCTTCTTGACCAGATTCATCGTCGCCGTCTTCTCCCCAACGAGAAGAGATCCGCGGGTTGAGGTCGCGTCGTGACACGCATGCTGTCGGTTCGCCGTTGAGTTTGAGTTTTGCGGCCGGTAGCTCTATCTATAGCATCGTATGTCATGAAACTCAAAACTCAACCACGCGGTTTCATTGAGGACCTCGGCTCGTCACGGATCACATGGCGCCAAGCTACTCGGTCGCCACCGCCTATTTTGTTTGGCCGAAATTGAAACTCAATTGTTAATTGTGGCGCAACGCCACTTTTGGGGATGGTCGAACGTCAACAGAGCGCGCTCGTTTCCATATTTTGCATACACTATGCGACGCCGCCGTGTTTCAAACGGTTGTATTGAACACTATATTTGGCATTTGGGTGCTATTTGTGGCGCGGCTTGGTAGAGGCACGAATCTCGGCGGCGTTGGTTCGAATATTATTCACGCGTCGTGTCAATTCATATCACCCGAGGGCCCGCTCGCCTAACCAGAGATGCAGAAGGAGGCCACGACCGAGGCCCGCGCGCTCCTCCGCGACGTCCACGTCGTCGCCGCCCGCGTCGCCAAGCAGCTCTCGGACGAGGAGCAGACGCTCCGCGCCAACGTGCCCCAGTACGTCCAGGGCCGGTCCCGCTACGCGAGCGACCACTTCATCACGTCCATCGTGCAGTTCCCATCCCACATGACGACGCCCGTCGTGGCCATGAGCCCGAGTGCTGCGCACGCGACGAGAGGCACGAGCGGCTGGCTCCACCTGCACACCAAGCAGCAGACGGACAAGAAACTCAAACTCAAGCGCCGGTTTGTCGAGATCCGCGACAAGTTTCTCTACTACGCCAAGTCGGACATTGCCAAGCAAAAGGTGCTCTTGGTGCTCGACGACGTCTCGACTGTCATGCCGTCGCCGATGGAGCACTTTGGCATCGTGCTCGTGACGCTGACCTCGTCCTTGCTCTTGGTCGCCGAGACGGATGCAGACTACATGCGCTGGATCTCGGAGCTCTGCCGCTTCATTCCCTACCAGCGCGTCCACGCGGTCTTTCGGCGCCGCATCCAGCAACTCGAGGTAGTACATTCGATCTCAGATCTCGGATATATTTGGACGATCGATGCATGTACAGATGGAAGCAACGCCGGCCAAGGCAGGCGACTTGCACACAGTCCTGTCGCCGACATCGACGGTCGGCGAGTGCATTCGCCACATTTTACTGCTGTTTCACCAGCAGCGCCGCCGGAAAAGTTTGCTCCACCCCGAGCACGAGTACGTGCTCAAGCTCACGGGATTTCGCGACTACTTTCTCGACTGGCTGCGCCCGATCGTCGACTACCAGTCGGTGCGCGAGTGCCAGCTCCAGAAGAAGACGCTCCGGCTCACCTTTGTCCACGTCTCGACGCTCGATAAGAAGCCGCTGAGCCTCCCGCTGGCGTTTGCCCCTCTCTTGTCGCCGCGCGTCGCGTCGGTCGCCGAGAGCTACCTCTTGCCGTCGCCCGACGGGCCAACGCAGAAGAGCGCCGACGTTGACGAGCCACTCCAGCTGTGCATCCACCGGCTCGCCAACGTGTCGCCGACGACGCTGTACCGCGACCGAACGCGGCGCGAGGTCAAACTCAGGGCCAAGCCGATTGTGCACCGGTTTATCTTTGTGCGACTGCAGCTCCTTGACGGTGCCAAGGCCGTCGAGAGCTCGCGGTTTGAAACGGACCTCACGGAGCTGACGCCCCATGGCGCGCTGTGCACGGCCGAGTTTGCGCCGCTTGTGTGGTACCCGCTGTCGCTGCCGCCGTCCCAAATGGCACGGTCGCTCCGCCTCGTGTGCACCATTTACGCAGCGTCCAAGCAGTATCTGATCGCCAAAGGTAGATTTCTATCGATACATCCTTCTTTGATAAGAGTGACGCGTCAGACGATGCGCACTGCGAGAAGATTGCGAGCACGGGCTGCCACTTGTTTGACGTCCATGGCATGATGGTGCAAGGCGACCGGTCCCTCGCACTCTACGACAACTTGGCCGACCTCAAGACAGGCCCGCTACCGTGCGGCGTCGAAGCGGGCCAAGGCTACATGCAGGTACTGTTATCTTGCCATCTATTGTTTCAAACGATCGATGGCTCGCAGGTCGAGTTTTGCTCGGCGCCCATGTCCCACGTCAAGTACTCGCCGACGCCGTCGATGCGCCGGAGTAGCATCCGCGCGAGCCTCAGCGACACGAACCTCTCGATGCTGGGTCAGTCGTTTTTCACCATCTCGGAGCCGTCGGTGCTCAAGGAGGGCGCGCTCGCCAAGCTCAGTGCACGACCGTGGCACGTCTGGAAGGAGCGCTGGTTTGCACTCAACGGCGACACGTGCTGCCTCTGCATGTCGGAGAAGCGCCACTCGATCCGGTCCGTCTCGGTCTCGCTCTCGGGTGCGACCGTCACGACCGCCGATAAGCTCAACCAGACGTACACGTCGTTTCCCGTCAACAAGAGCACGAAAAAGGAGTACCAAACGTGGTGCTTCTCGGTGACACTGCGGTATCAAAAGACCAAGTCGATCGTGTTGCGGGCGCCGACCAAGCAAGAACGCGACGATTGGATGCACTTGATCTCGGTCGTCATCCAAAAGACGGCCGATATGATGTGGGAGCGCCGGCTCGAAGACACGATGACGCTCCGCAGCAGCATGCTCGACGCCAACAAGCCCGAGCCCGACGAGCGCCTTAGCATCCCGCACACGCAAGACATTATGAACAACGTCCGTGGCTCGATGCGTCTCTCTTCGTGCTCGACGATTTGGTCGTCGTCCGGGTCGCTCTCGGAGATGGCGGTCGACACGTCGGGATCCACGTCGTCGTCGTCGTCGGCGTACATGGCCCACACCATCTCGACGGGCGCAACCATGGCAGCCCTGAGCTCGCTCCTCGCTCTCATTGAGCAAGACCCGCTGTACCGGCTCTCGAGCTACCAGAAGTCGCTGCTCTGGAGCCACCGGTCGTTTGTCGTGAGCCATTTCTTTGTGCTGCCGCGCGTGCTATCGTGCCTCACGTGGAGCGAGGCGAGCCAGCGCAACGAGATGCTCGAGCTGCTGCCCAAGTGGTCGAGTCCGGCGCACATTTCCGGGTACCTCGCGCTCCTCGACGCCGAGTTTGCCCACATGGGCGCGGTCCGGCGCTTCGCGCTCACAAAGATGGGGGCCATGGACGACCTCACGCTCGCGAGCATCCTGCCGCAGCTCGGTAAGTCGACATGTGTGTCGATAAACCATGGCCCATGGACGTTCTCTTTTGACTAGTCCAAGCCATCAAGTGGGAACCGTACGCGACGTCGCAGCTCGTGACGTGGCTCATTGAGCGTGCTCTCGTGAACCCGTCTCAGATTGGGTTTGCGCTCTTTTGGACGCTCAAGGTGGAGACGTACGTGGCGCGCTGGTCGGAGCGGTTCCGGCTCGTGCTCGACGCGTACCTTGCAGTTGTCTCGAAACCCATGGCGTCGATTCTGTCGCTGCAAGAGGCGCTCTTCTCGCCCGAAGGCGAGCTCCACCGCATCGCCAAGCGCGTCAAGAAGCTCAAGGCCAACGCGAGCATGCACGAGGTGACGGTGCAGCTGCGGCACATGCTCTCGGACCTCAACGTGCTTCTTCCTCCGTCGTACCAATTGCCCATCGACCCGCGCGTCGAGGTTGGCGCGCTCCTCGTGGACCAGTGCCGCGTCATGTCGTCGGCCAAATTGCCCCTTTGGCTCGTGTTTGAGAACGCCGACCCGACGGGCGAGCCGATCGAAGTCATCTACAAGGCCGGCGACGACGTGCGCCAAGACCAGCTCACGCTCGAGATGTTTCGCCTCATGGAGTCGATTTGGCAAGACGACGGCCTCGATCTGTGCCTCAAACCGTACCGGTGCGTCGCAACGTCACCGTTTACCGGCATCCTCGAGGTGGTCACGGAGGCCGTGACGACCGCCGACATTCATCACCGCAACGGCGTCTTCGGACCGCTCCACGAGGCGAGCTTTCTCGACTGGATCCAACACCACAACCGCGACGCAACGTCGCTGGCGTCGGCCGTCGATCTCTTTCGGCGGTCGTGCGCAGGCTACTGCGTCGCGACGTACGTGCTTGGCATTGGCGACCGGCACAACGACAACATCATGGTACTATGATCGACGTGAGATCGATCCATGCCACGTACGTTGACACTATTTCGATAGATGACGACGGCCGGTCGGTACTTTCACATTGACTTCGGGCACATACTCGGCCACTTCAAGTATCAGGTAGTGAACACAAGGTGTCGACCTGAAGTTGGAACGATGCTTTTTTGTAGCTCAACATCAAGCGCGAGAAGACGCCGTTTGTGTTTACAAAGGAAATGGCGCACGTGCTCGGCGGCGTCGACGCCGAGACGTACGCGCTCTTTGTCTCGACCTGCGGAGAGGCCTTCAACAGCATTCGCAAGCACACGCATTTGCTGACGACGCTGCTGCTTATGATGCTGCCCGCGGGCATGCCCGAGCTCACGGACGGCACGGACCTCCAGCACCTCGTGCAAGCCATGGACACGAGTACGTTTCACGACATAGTGCTGACGAACGTTGCACTAGGTCTCACGGACGTCGAGGCGCACGCGCAGTTTGCCGAGAAGATTGCGATTTGCCTCAAGCACCCGTTCAAGCGCATTGACAATACGATCCACAATTTTGTGCACAAGCTCCGCAGCTAATTCGACGAGTTGGGACTTAAGTATTATATATGGAGCCGTGGTTAGTCTATTTACCGCCGGAAGCGCTTTTGAGGACCCTTGAGATTGAGTTCGCCAACGCCACGCTTCTTGCGCGCATCGGGTTTCTCGACCTTGCGCGTGTGGTTGCTGTGCGGCATGTACGTCATCTCACGGACCATACCGGCCCCCTGGACGTTCTTCATGACGCTGCGCTCGGTGGCCTTGACCTTTTCGAGCTTGATGCGCTCGGCCAGCGGCAGCTTGGTGAGCTTGCGCCGCTCGCGCTGCGCGTCCTTGTCGGCCGCCGACCCGAGCCCGACCACGTTGCGAATCGACTCGCCCTTGGCGAGCTCGTAAAACTTGGGCAACGCCTTTTTGGGCGCCGGCGCCTTCTTGGCCTTGGGTGTTTCGTCCTCGTCCTCTTCTTCTTCCGAGGACGACGCGTCGCTCGGGCGACCTTCCACTTCATCGTCAACCAAGTCGAAGCGGCCTTCCTCTTCGTCTTCATCTTCGCCGTCGTCGTCGCTGTCCATGTCTTCGTCCTTCTTGCGCTTCGTGAGGTGCGCGTTCGGGTGCATCGCGCGGTACGTCTCGGACTCTTCGTCGACCTGAAAGTCGGTCGACGTGAACATCTTTGCAAAGCGGTCGTCGCCGAGCGGGTTGGCAAAGTCGGGCTCGGGCGCCTCGACGTCGAGCTCGTCGTCGTCGTCGCCAGACTTTTTGGGCTTCTTGGATTTCTTGCCCGACACGAGTTGCTCGGCGAGCGCGCGGTTGACCTTGGGGAGACGGCGCTGGATCGTGATTCGGTTGGCCTGCTTCTCCTTGACCTTTTCCTGGACCTTGGCCTTGCGCCATGCGTCGTACGCGAGCGGCGCAGCGACCGCCGACACCTTGGCGTACAGTCGGGCGTCCATGAAGAAGCCGTGCATGTACGCCTTGAGCAACGGCGTGCCAATCATGTGGTCCAAGCCGAGGGTCGAGAGCTCGGCCCGCGTGACAAACTTGTAGTCGTCGTACACCGTCGACGACGCTTCCTCTTCGAGCTCTTCCGTGAGGTTGTCGAGGAACGAGCACCATTTCGGCGCAATCCCGAGCTCGGGAATGTAGTAGGACATGACGCGCTCCTGCTCGCCAGCGACCATGAGAACGCCCGACATGCCCGCGCCGCCACGCACGACACACACGTCGTTGATATCGGCCGACGTCTCAAGGTTCGTAAAGAGCTTGCCATCGGTCTTGTCCCAGATCTTGATGCACTTGGCGTCCGACGAGAGCACTTGCTTGGACGGCCCTTCGTGGAACGTCACGTCGACGATCGGCAGCTCGTACTGGTGCTGCTTGGTGAGGAGCGGCGTCGACGACCGCAGATCGTAGAGCCGGACTTCGCCAGTGTGCGTGCCCACCGCGAACGTGAGGCCGTCCGTGTCAAAGTTGAGCGCCGAAATCGGCACGTCCGGCGACACGCTCAGCGAGCCCACGCGCGCTTGGCTGCGCGTATCCCACATTTCGACGACGCCGTTGTCGCCGCCGGCGCCGAGGAGCTGGTGGACCGGGTTGAGCTTGACGACGTTGACGGCCGGCATGTTGGTCTGGAGGCCGCCGAGGAACTGGCCTTGGTCGAGGTTGACGCGGTAGATTTCAGCGTCGGACGCGCCAACGTACATATCGCAGTTGCCGCGGTGGTAGACCATGTCGCGGCCAAACTTGGGGATGCGCACGTTGGTATGCGTACCGTACGGCGCATGGAACGCGATCGAGCGGTCCATCTGAAGGAACGCGAGCTTGCCAAAGTCCTCCGAGAGGCAGACAGCTTGAGCACTTGGCTGTCAAGGCGGCGCTCAAACTTCATACTGAGGTCGCGAACGTCGTAGACCTTGACAATCGGCGGGTACGTGCCGTGGCTATGATGTAGTTGCCGTCGGGCGACATGGTCACGCAGTGCGACGCCGTCGGGAACGTAAAGTCCTGGACGAGCTCGAGGCGGCGGCGGTAGTCCTCGTCGCGGCTCAGCGCCTTCTTGGTCTTCTGCGCCAGCCACTGCGGCAGCGTCTTGCCGGCACTGAGGTTGTAGACCTTGACGCCATTGAGCGATTGCGCCGAGAGCCCGGACGACATGGTAGCTGCTGGTTGAAGTGTCCTGGACTACGACCAATCGCGCCGAGTTGAGCAAGTGAATCCACTGGTTGCCGGCATTGGTGGCTGTCGCGCAGCATCCACCAATGAGCGCACGTTATGACTCTGATTTTAGCCAATCAAAACCAAGGAAAACACTCGGAGCCGAGAGGCGGCATCGCTCGTACGCAGCAACGACGACGATGGTGATGGACAATGGACATGAATGTTACACAATAGTATTGATACCATGGAGCAGCATGGCTCCGAGGCTGCAACCCGGTCGGCTCGACGCGCGTATAAAAAATGTACTGGTACTAGTTTTGGGGACAGGAGTTCGTATCATGCAGGCCCGACATGGATCGATCGACGCGTGCCCACGCGTAAGAGCACCGGAAACACCGCGGATCTCGTGCCACGTCGCTCTAATACAGAGCGAGCTACGCTAATACCAATGCCGGTATGCGGCGAAGTTGACGTTGCCGGATATGCTAGTCAAAATGGACCAATCATCGCGCTCGGAACGCCGAAATCCGAGGACTTCCACCGTGGACCAGGCACTCGGCTGGCAGCTCGGCGTCAATTACATTTTGCCTCTTGACCAGGACGGCGATGCAAGTGTTTGCAAACCTGCGAAAGGCTGCAGTCGTGCGCCACGCTGGCCTTGTCTACGTCCCATCTCCCATCGCCAGCGACCGGCGTCTTCCGAGGCATGCTGGACCGCGACGGCGACGAGGTCGCGCGTGCGACGACGCTAGTTCGGTACGCACCCAACTCGACGTTTCCGCCGCACACGCACGCTGCGGGCGAAGAGTTCCTCGTGCTCCAAGGGACCTTTCGCGACGACGTTGGCGTCTACCCAGCCGGCACGTATGTCCGCAACGCCATCGGTTCGGTGCACGCGCCGTCCATCGGGCCCGACGGCTGTCTCATCCTCGTCAAGCTGCGCTGGATGGCGCCCGAGGACACTCACGCGGTCGTTGACACACTACACGAGACACCCGAGTGGACGACAACCGACGGCGGTGGCCGGTATCTGCGCTTGTACGCGAGTCCGGCCACGTCCGAGAAGGCGTGGATGCTGCACTTGCCGCCAGGTGTCACATATCAGTTTAAGGGGAACTCCGGCGGTCACGAATTCTTCATTGTCGACGGCAGTGTCGAGATGACGGCTGACGCTGCGACGTCAGGCGAGTATGGTCACTACGACTGGATCCGTCTGCCGCCGCAAACCGCAGAAAACGTCGTCGTTGTGCGCAACCCGAGCCCAACAGCGATGGCCCGGCTCTTTGTCAAGACAGACCACCTTGCACGATTTCTCGATAGTTCGACGCCGGCGTAATCGTTCTCTCACGTTGCACTTTCAAATATCAAAGTTTCAAGTGACATCTGTGGAAAGGTGTCGTTGATGGGAATCGGTCTCGCAGCGTCCGCCGAAGTGGATTGCAAGACCGCTGTGCTGACATTATGTGGTCGCGCCGAAGCGGTGACCAAACTGCTCGGCGAGGCGCATGAGCTCGGCTTCGTCGACACCTGAGCCAGCTGCCGCGCTCTTCTTCTTACTGCGCTGCCACACGATAAACCCTCCTGCGCAAAGCACCTACGGGACTTCAGCTCCAAGCGATATCTGCAGCGTCGTACCAGCAACGGTGTTCGAATCCACGTGACGTCGTACATCATTTCTTCGTGGGTGAGGAGCAGCTGGAGCACAACAACGTCGCGGGTTCCGTTGGAATGAAGAAAGTGCACCGCCGCGGTCGCCTCACTCGGCGCGTCGCGAGTCAGCTGCGCGGCAACGGCAGTGCCTGGGACTGGCCACTCGCGATGTAGCACGCGGATCGCAGTGTCGTCCGCGACGCGGTAGCCTGTCAACTGATCGCGCGCCACGACGAAAACATGCTTGCGCCACGCCATCAAGTGCGGCACAACGTCGTTCTCATCCGCTTCTTCATGCATTGGGCGGAGCTCGTGTAGAATGTGGCACGCCGCAGTCCGTCCCGCCGCCGCCAAGAGGCGCTGCAGGTGCAAGACCAAGACATTGCCGCGACTCGTGCCGGCAAAGAGCATCAGCGGGCGCTGGGCATCTCGCAGAAGCGATACAATCGCGTCCTTGGAGCCAACGCAGGTCTGCGGTGTCCCGTCGCCGTTGACGTTGACCATGCCAAGGGCATTGCTAAAGGCGAACACCACAGAGCCGCCCGTGAGCGGCGTCAGCGCGCGGATCGGACCGTCCACTTCCGTGCGTCGGACACGGTCGCCGCGCTTATTGAAGACGAGAAGCTGCGCGTCATGAGTGCCGACCACGAGGTGCATGTCGTGGTGTGTTTGCGTCAACGCCGTCACGATCGGCACCGCAAAGCGCTTGGTGGCGTACAGCCTCTCAAATTCGTAGTGATAGCCTCCTTGTGGTGCCGCGCTGGTGACCCATACTGGCATGCGAGGGTGCAATTGGCGGTACACCGATGACGCGAGGATCGCGTCGACGCAAGGCGCGGCGTGGACGAGACAGACAGGCGCGTCGGTCGGTCGCCGCCGCACGAATTCGCCCATCGCCAGCCGGCCGTTCTCATACACGCGGAGGGCAAAGACGGTGACAGCGCCATGAGCATCGACAAGCGCAATGGCATTGCGACTGCCACTGATGCTCGTGATCGCGGTCGCATGGCGAACATGCGTCTGCACCGCCCACACCTCTACAAGTGACACTGGATTCACAAGACGAAGCCAGCCATTCCCGTGCACGACGGCGAGAAGGTGCAAGAACTCGCCGGCTGGATCGAGCTTGCGCTTTGCCCGCTGGTGCTGCATGTAGCTGTTGACGCGCAGCGAGATGAGCTCTGTGTGGCTCACGCGCTGGCCAAAGCGGTGGGCGGCCTCATCGAGAAAGAGGTCGGGCGCAGACGCAATTGGCACGGACGCGTTGGTGGTAAGCGCATGGAGAAGGCCTCGCCGCGTCTCAAGGAGCGTTGTGACCTCCTCGAGCGCGTGGATCTCGGCGTCGACGACGGCGGTCAGCGCGAGGTCTCCACGCACGAGGCCATAGCAGATGGCGGCGAGGATCGCAAGCACGGCAGCATGTGGTCCCATGCGCATGAAGTGGATTCGAGCGTACCGTGCTCCGCAAGTGCGCGAACTTGTGACGCGCGACATACACTGACCGTCGCCTGCGGTTAGGAAACCGACGACAACGGGCTATGTGGACGCATACACCTTCTCCTTCTTGACTTGAGCTCGGTCGACTTGGTTGCGAGAGCCCCTGTAGTAGACAGTGCAGTAGACGAGTCATTGTATGTCCTCAGTGAGGACATACAGTAGAAGCGACGAAATGCGTCTCGGCGAATCACGAGATGCCAATTCCTGCTGTTCAGACGGTCAGCAGAGACGCCGTCTTTCTATTCCCTTGCGACGCTGCGAGCCCAAGCTCGTATCTGCTATTGCGCTGGTAGTACTGTGAAGGTTGACAATGGACTGCATCGCATAAGGCGACGAGGCCACAGGCAGGGTGAACGTCAGGTGCGCGCGTGCCAGCGTGAAACGGCGGTTTCAGTCTCGCACCATATGATTGGTCAATTTATTTGGGGCTGTCGCATGTGAGCAGGGGCCAATCGGAGCGTGCCGTGCGCGACCCGCCGCTGTGCCAGGAACCAATCAGCGCGCGGTGTGGCGTGGCGTATCCGGATGAGTGCCGAGATTCCAAGTTTGGCGCAGAGGTTTCGCCGAGCAGGAGAGTGACTGGCCGAATCTTGGGTGGATGGGTTGATCTCCATGTGGGATAAATGGGACAAAGGGGTTTTACCCGACGTGGTGTCGATGCAGGTCTCGATTGGACAGTAATCCCTCGACGAGGTTAACCAACAACACCGTCATGGTGCATTTCCGTTCCTCACTGCCCTGTGTTCTGTGTATTGCTCGCGCCAAGTACTGCGTCCCAATGCTTGTTCATTGACATGCATTCCAATGAGGTGGGTTGTGAAGTCAGTGGTTCCTGGGGACACTTCCTCTCCTGATCCCGTCGCGTTGGGGAACTGCAGTGACACCCAAGTCACTACGATGCAGTGCCCAGCAAATGTGCCCAGTGCAGTCGAGGGCAAGGCAAGTATCATAGCAAATCGACATCCTCGCATTGCCACCCAGTGTATTGACGTGGCTCCTGCCCCAATACAAGAAGGCGGCCGGTACCACGACGCCGTGTTGCTTTTATGCCACCATTTCACCCCGATCCGCCAACCAATCACCCGCAGCTGCGATCTTGGGTCAAATGGGTTTTTCGGGACAAATCCAGTGGCGCCCAAGTTGGTTCAGTTTGAAATTCGAGCCCAATGCCCTCAAGCAAGAACGACTACCAGACGATCCCTGTCGACTTGAGCCCGGTGCAGTCGCCGTCGAGTGCGCAGAGGCGGCTGACGCAGTGGCGTCTGCAGATGCTGCTCATCAACCTCGTCGAGTTCTCGGCCGAGTCGTCCCGCGGTGTCGTCATGCCGACGCTCTTCCTCTACACGCAGTCGCTCGGCGGCTCGCTCTACGAGATGGGTCTTCTGACGTCGGTCTTTAGCGTCGGCCGCCTCATCTCGTCGACGGTCTTTGGCTGGCTCTGCGACCGCTACTCGTTTCGCTTTGTGTACATTGTGTCGTCCTTGATCGGTTTGATTGGCAACATCATCTACTTGCTCGCGGACCTGCACGTCTACAACTGCGTGCACGTATTGCTCGTGAGCCGGTTCCTTGTCGGCTTTGGCGCTGGCAACCGCAGCGTGTGCCGTGCCAACGTCGCCGCCATCACGCACGTCGACCAGCGCCTCAAGTACATGACGATCCTCGCCATGGTCGTCTTCTTTGGCTACGCGCTCACGCCCGGCCTCGGCGGCATTCTCAACGACATTGACTTTCGCATTGGGAGCCTCCACATCCACAAGCTCACAGGTAGCCTCCATCTCAATTGGAATCGGCATCTCATCATCCTTCCTCTGTCTGTAGCACCTGGCGTCGTCCTCGCTGCGATGAACCTCGCGACAATCGTGCTGATGTTGACCGCGTGGGACGAATCCATCGGGCTCGCCGACGCGCCGGACGTCTCGCCAACGCCGTTTACAGCCAAGAAGTCCAAGGCCGCGCCGCTCAGCGCGCTCCCGGACCGCCTTGTCTACTGGGGCGTCTTTGTCTTCATGACGCTCAACGTCGTCGCGCGTGGCATTCTGTCCATCTTTGAGACGGTCAACGTTCCGCTTTTTATCGACATCACGGGCCACACCAACGAGACTGCGGTGCTCGCGGCCTCGAGCTTCCAGTTCAACATGGGCCTTCTCGGGCTCTTTGCGTACGTGGCGATCGAGGTCTGGCGCCACGCCATCACCGACGTCATGTGGCTCCTCATTGGCTTTGGCGCGCTCGCGCTCGGCAACCTCGTCTTGATCCTCGACATGGCTTCGCGCAGCTACACGGAGCTCGCGATCGGCATCTTCTTTGTCTGGAGCGTGGGCAGTCCGCTCACGACCGCAGTGTGCGTCGCCGCCTTCTCCAAGATCCTCGGCACGCGCCAGCAAGGCACGTGGATGGGCCTCTTGGGCTCGGCGGCCTCGGTGTCGCGCATCATCATGCCGCTCCTCCCCGCGCTCTTTGAGACGTTTACGCCGCTCTTTTGGATCAACTTTGCGTTGTGCGTTGCGAGCCTGGGCCTCCTCGTGTGGTACGATGCGATCGTCAAGCGCGAACGATCGCAGCAAGCGTCCCAGACGCTCCTCCCCAAAACGGTGTATGTATAAGCCATCGCGGCGCTTGCATGCTGCATCGATGAGCCACACGTGGCGCTTCAATAGAGATTTGTATTCATTTCCGCGCGTCTCGCACAGGAGAACGCTGGTAAAAAACGCCGGCGCCAAGTGGAAAGACGCTTGGACGCCTTACGGCCCGACACGACCTCGCACGTAGAGTGTGAAGCATCTCCATCCCATGCTCGTAGTGCGTTGCAATTCTGCAATCATGCAATCGTCTCTACGGATCTACGGCGCGGTTCGTCTCGCTTCAATACCGGGTGGCCCCACTGGCAGCATCGTTTGTTGTCAAAGGTGCTGGCAGGTAGGCTGGTGGTGCCATCTCGTTTGGAGGCTTATCCGGATGAGGTGTGCACGGCGCCCCAGGTGTGGCAGGTTGCCGACCATCTTTGGACCTCGAAACGAAGTCTCGTGTTTCGTTCTATGGGCATAGCAGAGGACGGAGGGAGCCCAAAAATCAAAGAATGGTGCTCGTAGCATACCTGCAACCCAGCCCTGCCTGCAACCAGTGCTAGCTGTGTTTCGGCTCCGGCGTATCTGATGTATTGATACATTAATACTAACCCAAGTATCAGTTCCAACAACTGGGACGGCGCACAGCACTGGTTGCAGGTATGCTACACTGTACGAGCACCATTCTATGGTTTGTCGGCTCCCTGCGTCCTCTGCTATGCCCATAGAACGAAACACGAGACTTCGTTTCGAGGTCCAACGATGGTCGGCAACCTGCCACACCTGCGGCGCCGTGCACACCTCATCCGGATACACATCCGGATAAGCGATGGCACCACCAAACCAATTCGACAAGCCTGGTACCCTGCCAGCGTTTGACCACGACGCTGCCAAGCTCGCGTGCCATCGCCAATCGAATAAGACAATGATTCCCTTGGCCAACACGCACCTCCGCGTGTTCTACGCTTGGTGCTGATAACCCAAACGTCAGAGTCCATCAGTGTCCACCACCATCGGGTGTGCGGCAAGGAGTCGCTTCGTCGATCTCACTGCTATTTCAAGAAGACAGCACTGTTTAGGAAGGGGTATAGTAGATAGATTCATTGCGATTACACGAGCGATTGCGACTCGCCCGCGAGCAGCGCGTGCTTGACCTTGTGCACGAGCTTGTCGTACCAGAAGAGGAGGCCAATGCACGCAACTGAGACCACAAAGTTGATCCAAAAGACAGGCTTGAACGACGAAAAGAGCGCCGGAAGGAGCGGCATGATGATGCGCGACACCGAGGCCGCCGAGCCGAGGAGACCCATCCACGTGCCTTGCTGGCGCGTGCCGAGAATCTTGGAGAAGGCGACAACGCACACCGCGGTCGTGAGCGGGCTGCAAATGCTCCAGACAAACAAGACACCGACCGTCATTTGCGTGTACGCCCAGTCGGGGCTCACGTTCCAGAGGAGCACAAAGTTGCCGAGGGCGCCAGCCGCGAAGCCAAGGAGGAGCCAAAGCACGTCGCTGATCGCGTTGCGCCAGAGCTCGATCGCACCGTACGAGAAGAGACCAAGGAGGCCGAGGTTGAACTGGAACGTCGACGCCGCCATGATCGCCTGGCTGCTGCTGTGGCCCGTCACTTGGAGAAAGAACGGGACGTTGATCGTCTCAAAGATCGCGAGCATGCCACGCGTGAGCATGTTGAGGAGCATGAAGACAAAGATGCCCCAGTAGATGAGCGACTGCGGCAAGTCGACCGTGTCTTCGTCCAGTTCGGCGAGGCGCTGCGACTTGGTGCGCTTCGGGCTCACGTCCGGCGCGTCGCCCGAGCCAATCGAGTCGTCGAACGTAAAGAACATGAGCACCATCGTGATGAGGTTGAGGATCGCGAGCACAAGGCCGGGCGCCGTGAGCTCGTTGATCTTGGCGCCGAAGATCGAAAAGTGGGTGCCAGCCATGAGGCCGCCGAGGCCCGGCGTGAGCGCGTAACCGAGAAAGACGACCATGCCGAGGATCGTGAGGTACTTGAGGCGCTGGCTGACGTGCGTCATGGCAGCGACGTTGGCGCGGCACACACTGCGGTTGCCGGCGCCAAAACCGACGATGAAGCGGCTCACAAGAAGCACGTAGATCGGGTCGAACGTCGGGTTGTCCGCAAGGACGTAAATGATGTTGCCGACAACACCGAGAAAGGACGAGAAGAGGTAGACGAACCGGAACGAGTAGCGGTCGCACATCCAGCCGAGCACCGTCGACGAGATGAGGCGGCCGACGCTAAAGACCGACGTCAAAAGCCCCATCTCGTAGAGGTCGCCGCCAAAGCTCTGCGTGTAGAGGAAGAGCGTCGGGAGGATGATACCGCGCGACGACTCGGCCGCAAACTCGACGAGGTTCACCAGCGCCATCTGGTACAGCCACCGGCCACGGCGCTTCTCGGGCGAGTACTCGGGCACGCTGAGCGCCGGCACGGCGGCGTAGCTCGGCGGCTTGACGACGTCGGTGCTGCTCATGACCTTGAGCTGGACAATCGGAAAATGGCGTCGAAAAAAGTGGTCGAAAATATATAGCCACAAACTGAATCGGAAGCGATCAACCTTTGGCCAGATCCGGAGCGACGACCACTGGATGATGGGCGTCGGCGTGGGCTCCCCGGGATCCATCGCCTCAACTATGCACGAGGCCAGCTGCCGTGCATATCCCACGTGTTTCCCACGTAAATCGAGCCCGCCGCAATCTATTTTTCACGCCCCGTACATTCGATCTACAAAACGCAAGGTTAACCGTACCACCCACGCTGGTGCCGCCGATTCTGGCGACCTTGTTCCGGCCTTTCCATGTTATTTTGCATCTTTTATTTCACCTAGGGGTTTGTATGCCATGTGGAATAAAAAGCCTTGGCGTCGGAACGTGGCCGTGCAAGATCGCGTGACTAATTAAAGTGCTCCAGATTCGAACGATGTCTGATTGGTCGAGAGCAAACGCGAGGCGACAACCCAGTATCTAGCTGCTTGCCGACCGTGCCACCGCCACAGGCGCGACGAGGCTACTCGTGCACGACGCGGAAGGACGGACTGGAGATCGTCCCTGGGAGATGTCCAGGGAAGCGGGCGCTTTGCATCGTGCTAATACAGGAGGCCGGGGACTGCCGTTGAGGGCGATGAAGGCCATGATGGCAGAACCAGGTTATATTTTGCGTGCCTTTGCAGCAGCCGCCGCCCGCTGAAACAGAAGGTGCTATTACATAAACGGAACGGGCATAATCGAACCCGAATCATCTCGGACTGGATGCCACGCAATGTCGGCCACCCGTCCGATGCGTGGCTGATGATTGCGGCGGAAGCCGAAACCACGTCACGAGCGACGTGGGGTGCGGCGACAGGGCGGACGAAGATGGTATAATTATGACGCCTCCTGCAAAATAAAGCTGCTGGCAAAGGATCTGCGGCTCAACCCGTGGGCTATTCTAAAGGCTATCCGTGACTATTCGAGGGCGAAGCGGGGGGCGACATTAGCAGCGCCGCATTCGCTTCCCGGGTCACTGCCACATCATAGAGCACCAAGAGCGCAGCGCCCACGAGGCAGAGAACGAGGCTGATCCAAAAGAGCGGCGTAAACGTCGAAAAGGCTGCTGGCAGCATCGGCATGATGATGCGCGACATCGAGGCCGCCGAGCCCAAGAGGCCCATCCACTTGCCTTGCTGGCGCGTCCCGAGGATCTTGGAGAAGGCCGAGACGCACACCGCGGTCGTAATCGGACTGCCCACGCTCCAGAGGAAGAAGACGCCAGTCCAGAACTCCGTGTACGTCGGTGTCGCGTGCAGCGCCAGAATAACGTTGCCTAGACCGAGGCCCGCAAAGCCAATCACGAGCAGCTTGCCATCGGAGATGACATGGTGCCAGATTTCAATCGCTAGATATGTAAGCAACCTAGGAATAAGAGGCTGGACAAGGTGTCAGTAGAGTGAGTTAGTTACCCAAGGAGTCCGAGGTTGAACTGGAACTTGGCCGCTGCAGCCACGACCGTGTTTTTTGCGTCACCCGTCACTTGCACAAACAGCGGCACGTTGATCGTCTCGTAGATTGAGAGCACGCCGCGCGCGACAAAGTTGAGGAAGATATAGATACCGAGACCTGCAAAGACGAGCTTGTCCGAGAGATTCATCTTCGAAGTAGTCGCCGACTTTATGGACCGTGCCACGCTGTCGCTTGGCGCGTCACGCGCGTCAATCGTGTCGTCGTACGCGGCCGCCACAAGAACAAGCGAAGCCAGATGGAGACTCGCGAGAAGCAATCCCGGAGCTAGAAACGCCTCAGACAGATATGAACGACGATCGCCAGTACCTGTAAATGGGTTGATGGGCAAGCCGAAGAATCCGAATTCCACAATCGTGAGCGCGCCGCCGAGGCCGGGCGTGAGCGCATAGCCGAAGTACACGGAGATCGCGAGGATCGTGAGGTATTTGAGCCGAACGTCGACGGTCGTCATGGCGGCGACGTTGGACCGACACACGCTGAGGTTGCCGGAGCTCACGCCGACGAAGAAGCGGCTGAAGATGAGCGCGCGCGTGCTCGGGACAACATACACGAGGTTCCCGGCGAGGCCAATGGTTGCTGCCATGAGGTACACGGCGCGGAACGAGTACTTGTCGCAGAGATAGCCAAAGACGGTCGATGAAATGAGGCGACCGACGCTGTAGACGGAAGTTAGGAGGCCCATCTCATAGAGATCGCCGCCGAGCGACTGGCAGTAGAGGAAGAGCGTTGGCATGACTATGCCCCGCGAAGCCTCGGCGATGAAGATGACAAAGTTGATGAGCGCCATTTGACGGCGCCAGCAGCGCACCCGCGCCGCGACCGCGTCCGGGCTGCGCTCGTCGTCGACCAGCGGCTCGTACTTGTGAGACATGTTGCGATCTTGTGTCATCAACGGGCGTTGAAACGAAGGAAGCGTACCGTAATTTTAGACGCTGCCAACATGGACACTTTCTTCCATGCTTTTTACCAATAGCCGCTGACGGTAATACAAAGATGCAGCTCGTTGCTCTAGGAAGGCGCTGGCTACCACGACTTAAGATCCCGTTCTTGCATCTCCTTTCTAAATTCCTAGTAGTATCTCGAAAGATGATTGGTCTTATTGAGCCAAGGCTCCATCCCACCAAGCGCTGGAATTCTATAACGAGACACGAGAGGCCGACCTACGTGGCAGCCTGGGACGCGATCGGCACGATGGCGGCGGCCCTTGGTGCCATGGCTTTGGCTCGCTTCACGATTAGATCAAAAGCCAAGAGTGCGGTCATGGCCACGATACAGAGCCCGACGTTGATAAAGAAGAGCGGTGTGAACGACGACGCAAAGAGCGCTGGTAGCATCGGCATGACGATGCGGGACAGCGAGGCGGCGGACCCAAGAAGGCCCATCCACTTGCCTTGCTGGCGCGTCCCGAGGATCTTGGACATGGCCGAGACACACACTGCAGTCGTAATCGGACTGCCCACGCTCCAGAGGAAGAAGACGCCGAACCAGAGCTCCACGTACGTCGGCGTCGTGCGTACGGCAAGAATCAAGTTGCCGATGCCCAAAGCGAGGAAGCCACCGACGAGCCACGCGACGTCCGAGACGGCGCGGTGCCAGACCTCAATGGCGAAGTACGCGACGAGCCTAAAACGAAATCGATCGTATTTTGACAGTCAACGAGGTGTCAATACCCGAGGAGACCGAGGTGGAACTGAAACGCCGACGCAGCGGCGATCATCGTCGTGTTCTTCTCGCCCGTGACCTGGGCAAACAGCGGCACGTTGATCGTCTCGTAGATCGAGAGCACACCGCGCGCGACGATATTGAGAAAGATGAAGAGGACGACGCCGGTGTAAACAAGTGTGTCCGAGAGCACGAACGACGACGCGGCGGTCACGGTCCTGGTCTTGAGTTTGGCCTCGGGTGCGTCCTCGACAGAAATGGAGTCGTCGTAGAGGCACACGATGAGCAGCAGCGAGAGCGCACTGAGCGCCGCCAAGATGACGCCCGGGACTAGGTAACTTTGAAGCTATTTCTACATAGTCACGCAGCTGATATACCCGTGTAGGCATCGATGTGGAGGCCCGCGACGGTCCAGTCGACGTTGGAGAGGAGCCCGCCGATTCCTGGCGTGAGCGCGTAGCCGAGGTACACCATGAGTGCGAGCATGGTGAGGTACTTGAGCCGATGCTCGAGGTGCGTCTTGGCGGCGACGTCGGCTCTGCACACACTGAGGTTGCCAGAGCTCACGCCAACAAGGAAGCGACTGAGGAGCAATGTGTGGGGGTGTGGTAGCAAGTAGAGTATATTGCCAATGAGGCCAATGACCGACGACGCAATGTACACGGCGCGGAACGAGTACTTGTCGCAGAGGTAGCCAAAGACCGTCGATGAAATGAGGCGACCGAGGCTAAAGACGGACGTGAGGAGGCCCATGAGGTAGAGATCGCCACCGAGCGACTGGCAGTAAGGAAAGAGTGTCGGCATCGTGATGCCCCGCGAGGCCTCGGCGCCAAAGATGACAAAACTAATGAGGCCCAGCTGCGTGTGCCATTGCCGGGTGCGTCGCTGGGTCGCACATTCGTCTGGGCCTTTGCCGTCGATCCCATCGTCGCGGGGAAGCTGCACGGATGCTTGCATTTGTCAATCAAACGAGCGAGTGAAAGACCAAAAGGATGCGGATAGCATGACGTTGGGCCTCCATTTTGGTCAAGCAAAAGCGTTGCAGATAAAAACGCTCCAACGGCAATCCGGAGCTTTAGGACGCCAGTGAATTCGATCGCTTGTCGTCGTCTGCAATCCCTCGATTTCATGTTCCCTTCTTCCACCCGCGCCATGCATCCAGACGTGCGGATCAAGGTGCGGGGCGATTGTGAGCGATGGAGCTACTAGTTTCCTCTGAGGAAGAACTTGTTGGCAGTTTGTTCCAAGAAGCGTACTAGTGTCGGTAGGTTTGGCCAATGCACCTTTATTGACACAAACCTCGACCAAGTACGCGGCGGATCCGGCACACGTGCCCGAGATCGAACCCTCGATGACCGGTTTAAAATCGATTTCCCAAGCTCTCGGACGCGTCACTTTAAGCTTTCAGTGGACTTGCACATAGCGCTGCTCAGCGGTACTGCAACCAAGCAAGGCAACATGAAGCATGGCGACAATTCGTTCGGCCATGGCCGCTGAGAAGCTTCAAGTGTCAAAGCGCGCGTTTCATTGGCTCGTAATCGACCAATGGCATCGCGTCAAGATGGGGCTCGGACGCACACTGTGAAAGTGCAAAATGCGGGCCGTCAGTTGGATCGGAAGCGCCGCCATCGCCATTGGCACGTGCGCTCTCATCGGACCCGCGCTCGTCGCATGGAAGCCGCCAACGCGCTGCGCCCACGTCCCGTACCCGCTCGCGCGCGCCGACGGCGCCGCCGACGACTTCGTGCGCACGGGCATCATTGGCCTCGACAACATCATCTGCACCTTCACCCACTTCTTTCACGACTCGCAGGCGTATTCCATCGCGCCGCACGTCGAGATGATCAACCATCTCCTCTCGAGCGCTCTCTTGGGCGTCGCCCTCTTCATGGGCCTCGAGTCGACGCGCCAGCGGGCGCGCGGTCCGTGCGCGTGGCCGGCATTCACCGCGACCATGTACCAGCTTCTTGGCATCTCGGTCGTCTTTCCGATGCTTTGGATCCCGTCCTTTCTCTACTCGTACCCGCAGTCGCTCGGTAAGGCGAGCGCTATGCTGCTGCCGGTGCACGAATTCTCGCTCGGCTCGAGCCCGCTGCTCGCGACAATCGCACTCGGCACCGCTGCGTTCGGAGCCATCTTTTTTCGTCATGACCCACTCGACCGGCCTCGACTTTCAGCGTGCGTTTGTGATCTTCCAGTTCTGGCCCAGCGTCTTCCCGCTTCTGTGGCCAGTGCTCCGCGCTGTCGTGCCCGCGCCCTCGACCAAAGCCTCGGCGACGACAGCATCGAGCGTCGCCAGTGGTCTCTACCGGTTCTTTGCGCTGGCACTGACGCTGCACCACTGGGGGCTGCTTGTCGCGCCCTTGGTGCATCGCGGGTCCGTCGCGCCGCTAATCGACCTCTATGACTTTTTGCTCTCGATGCCGTTCGCCGAGAACGAAGCGATTCCCTTGTGGTTCCTTCTCGTCGACGCCGTCTCGCTCGTCGCGTCTATGGCGCTTCTCGTGGTCACCGAGTCGACCAGTGCGCACGGTTTTAGTCGCGCGGCGCTGTCGCTGGGCCTTTTTATGCTGACCAGTATCGTCCTCGGGCCCGGCGCCGCCTTTAGCCTCTTTTGCGCGTCGCGCGAAGACGGCATTCGCGCCGTGCATTGGACCACGTCCACAAAGACCAAGCGCCGTTAGCTAAAAATCTCTGCAGCGATTACACTTACGACGTAGGATTAACGCTTCAAATGGACATTGACGCCACGTTTTCGTTTATCAGCGAACAGTGCGGTACAACGTGGGCTGCGACCGGGCACTCACAACCAGCGACGAAGAGGTTCGATAGGAAAAAAGTGCATTCTGGTGTACGTTTCGGGCGCCGCTTTTAGAACCGGCCAGAGCGCAATGGGCGGCAAGCTCTCCAAGAAGAAGCCGTCGCCGCATACGATCCGGGTGAGTCCAAAGAAGCAGGCGCCGCCCGTGGCCCCGCCTGGGATCGTGGACCCGCCGCCGCCCAAGCACGGCAACGGGTGCAACATGCCATGTAGTATTCCTTGCAACGAGAACGTATTGGTGTCAGGGATGTAACTGGACATTCGTAGTTGGCGCCGACCAAGGACCGATTGCGATCGGACGCGTGCAAGCCGAACCCAATGCGAAGAAAGCAGAGGTCGTCTTCGGCACCGCGGACGCAAGAGGCTCCCACGACGAGTGCAACATCTTTTTTGCTTGGAACGGAGGTGCGGCCGCGGCCTTGACCTTGCGTGGCGTCAAATACAAGCCGGTGCAGTTCCATTTTCATACACCAAGTAGATCATTCTCCTCTTGGAATCGGTGTACGTAATGCATTAGGCGAACACACGATCGAGGGCACGCAGTTTCCACTCGAGCTGCATGTGGTGCATGTGGCGCCCAACGACCGCTGGGCCGTCGTCAGCTACGTCTACCAGTACGGCGAGACGGAAGACGCCTTCTTAAAACAGGTGTCGACTCATCGGCTTACCCGGTTGCCTGAAAGCGTCTTGGCTCGGAGGTAGGTCTGGCCGAGTCTGCCGCAGCTCTCGACCATTCAACCGGCGGTGGCGGTCGGGTCTATTGACGGGCGCGTCCTCATGGAGCCGAAAGAAGGCTACTACCGGTACACGGGGGCTTCGGGCGACGGCGTCGAGTGGGTCGTCGCCCAGCGACCGCGAATAGCGACGCCGGGACAAGTCGCGTCGCTTTTCGGCGCGCTGCGTGCGTCGAATGCTCGGCCGACGCAGCCGGTCACAGGTCGAGCGGTCACCTTGTACGTCGCCGCGTTCCAATGGACGCTCGCCTCATGCTCCTGTACTAGGCTCTGCTAGCTACCTGCCTGTGACACCCCTTCTCATTATCTATGGAGCACGACAAGTAAACTATAAGACGTAGTTGACGACTTGGTAGTATCCATGCCGCGCTACGCGAGGTGGGGCTGGCGTTAGGGTGAGAACGCAGGCCCATGACCGGGCACGAGCACATCGGGGCGCCACGCTAGCACAAAGGCACGGCTCGACTCGTGGAGCACCGGCATTTCCGAGAGGTCGCGCCACCAGCTGTCGTCGCCATCGCACTCCCAGAGATCGCCCACGATGGCCACGCGGCTCACGTCCTCGGTACGGCCATCCGCGTGTTCAAATACAAAAGCACTTGGCGCTTCGAGGAGCACCGAGACGCACGAACCCGTATGACCAGGCGTCGTCACGACGCGTAATGGCGCGGTAGGAACCTCGTCCAGGGCAATCGCGCCGTCGGCGGCGACAGTCGCGAGGCAGCGGCCAATGCTCTGGTCCCGCGCCGGCGCGCCTGCGGCCGCGTACTCGTGGCGTCGGTTGATGTCGCGACCGACAATGTGCATGGCCTGCGGAAAGAGGGCCAAACACCCGACATGGTCCGAGTGGCCGTGCGAACAGACGACAAGTGCAATGTCGTCCAGCGGGACGCCGCGCGACGCAAGCGACTGCGCGAGGTCCGCAGCCACCCACGCGCCGCCCGTATCCACGAGTACATTGACGCTACCGACTTGGATGAGCGTCACCGAGCAGTCGCAGTCCCATCTGCCGGACGCAAGCTCGCGCGCGCGGCCCACGCGCAATTGCACGACACGCATACCTGGCCTTTCTTGGTGATTTTTTATAAATGTGTGAATAAAATGATGCGGTACATGTATCCAACAGTAAGAGAGCTCAATCCATCCGAGCATGGAACTTGAGCTACAGAGCCTACCGCGTCGAGTCGGTCCCATGCTACTCTTGTCCATGGCATTTGCTATGAATGTGGACACGTGTACGATATCGCTCGCCTTTGGCGCCTCCTTCAGCTAGTATGATCGTGATGGCAGCCATTGACGCGTCGTCTGGTGTCGCCGCTGACACGGACCAAGCGGCACGGCGTAAAGTATGTACGCCTTTCCATGCTCACTGCAAACACGATTTGCACTCTAGCGGTCGCCAAGTCACTTTGCACTTGAACCAGTCCCCGCGCAGCTCGAGCCCATTCCGAGCAACAGTTGCCCATGCTTCAGTACGGCGCGGGCCAAGCCAGGGCGTTGCACGAGGGGTTCAACATCTTTGTCGAGTGACTTGGCGCTGGACGGGAAGCGCTGCCACCCGATACAGTTTTATTTCCACACGCCAAAGAGGGAGCCGAAATCCGATGCGGAAACGTCATAAACAACGATCAGTTCCCGCTCGAGCTGCACATCGTGCACGCTGACGAGGGGCGCGTTGGCCGTAATCGGCTTCGCGTTTGTCTACAGCGATAAAGGCGATTGCGTTCTACTGCTCTGCTGGGTCTCTCACGACACCGCCGTTCGTCGAAGGTGTCGAGTAGATCATGCGCCAGTAACCTCGCAGTGTCGAATCAAGTCACTGCCTCTTCAATGCGATGCCGCTAGCCACCTCACGGGCTCTGCATCCACTCAACGACCGCACTCTTATGCTCTATACACTTTACTGGCGCGACGTGACTTCGCCAAACTCGTAATGGCCCGTCTCTTGCGCGTGGACACTCGCTTCCATCTACGTCCGACACAGCATATTAGTTGATAGACCTTTCAAGAATATCAGGCACGACGTACTTGGCCCTTGAAGGCGCGGCGACAGACCATGCATTGGATCGTAAAACCACCGACGTCCGTGTACTGATGCGTCTACAAAGCTCAATTTGGAGACAAACGACACATGGGATGTAGTACGTACCTGATGCGCTTCCACCGCGAGGACGCTGGCACTTTCAACCTAGACAACGCGAGCGTGGACATGCGAGATAGTACGACGGCAAGAAGAGACCTTGGCGAAATCGTTGATGGCGAAAAGCGTCTTGTCCTTGCCACGGGCATCGACCTCGGTGATGGCGTCGTAGTGAATCCCGTCGTAGAGGAGGAAGAGGCGCTGCGTGAAGCCTTGGTCCTCGCCGTAGCAAAGCCGGGACATGCTGATGACATCAAAGACGAGCATTTCGATGCGAAAGTGCATCGACAAGATCGAGAGCTCGATCTCGCCGCCCCACGACTTGCTGTCGAGGATCCACGCACAGTACTCGTCGACGGGTCGCCCCAAAAAGGTCGCGTTGTACAACGCGGGGTTGCGCACAATGGCCTCCTACGCGAATGGCGTCCTACGACACGTACAGAGACGTCGTGTCGTACCACAACGACCTGCCGCATTGTCTCGCCATTGCCCGTCGCGCCCTTCCCGAGGCAAAACCTACCATCGAGTTGCGTATTGCAACGCAGCGCATCAGTGTACACACCCGATCGCGTTGAAGAGACAGCTATTGTCGCCAGCAATGACCTTTCGCTGAAACTTGGCAGTTGACGACGACGACGACGGGAGCGCGACGCCTTCCTTCAAGAGGATGGCCGAGCCAGACGTGATGCCGACGCTTGTAATGAGCGCGTCGTTGTCGCCGACAATGGGCTTGGGCGGAAATCCTGCCAGCACTAGACAAGCAATCGTGATGTCATAGCCGTCGCCGTCCATGCCGAAGCGTATGTACACGTCTGCTGGTCTGGCGGTAGACCCGTCTCTTTCGTCAGCCGGAGCTTGAGCTGCAGAAGTGTCGTGTCCAGGGCGAGGCCCATGAGGCGCAGCGAGCCCGCGGAGCAGTTGACCTTGATGTTCATCGCCTCAAAATTCGGAAAGAAATAAGTCGTTATCCGGAACCACGCTATCCGGATATCGTCATCGCGTTAAACGTTATAAAACCTTCGTGCAATGCTAATAAACGCGAAATCGGAGCGAGCTAAAGCTCGCCACACCAAAAGCTTCCCAACACCCAATAATCTCAACAACGCTTGTACCATCGTGGGTTGGTCCAACGCGAGGGCGCGGAGGAGCCATGCGTGCAGCTGCCTCGAGCGCATCGCAGGCGAGATGAAAAGGTGATCGACTGGGTATTGTGCATCGCATAGGATCTGCCCAAAGACTGCCCTCGCAATTATTACAACGAGCCCGCCTTGCCCAACTGTACGTTCGTCTAGTCTACCAAGTGATTTGGGCTGCCTGTGATGGAGATCGATGTGGCTTATATCTTCTTTGGCGTTTCAGACGCTAACGTGGCCAAGCACCAAGGGTTCTTGAACCAGCAGCACTCTGCCCAAGCGATGCATGTCCCATCCCAGCACGTCTCCTCTCAGTACGTACGTATTAATAGCTGTTGTTGTTGAATTGGGTCCTCTATTACAAAAGATAAAACTATGCTAAATAAAATTGTCGGACTTTCTTCGTTGTGTGCACTCACTCGGTTGAGGGACTTGATTTAGGCAGGCGGAGGCAGGAGCGCGATCCGCGGGACGAGGTGACGTCTCAGTACGTAGCTGTTGTGGTTCCAACAAGTCTTCTAACGTTATCCACCACATGGATCTCTCAATCCAGACAATTATGTCGGTCCTTCACTGTCGTGTTCAACCGGTTAAAGGACGTGGTCTGTGCTGGCGGTGCGACAAAGACGCGATGGCGTCATACATCGTGTTTAAAGTACTACAGCGCGTGGCAACTCGAGCGTTTCCATCATGTCGACACAGAGCGTCGTTTCGTCGAATTCGCAAGAAATATTTCGCTGGAAAACGCAAATCGTCGCAACTTTGATGGCAAGCACGATATGTTTCGCGGCCGCGATCTTTCTTTTTATAAATAGAAAAGTGATGCATGTTTCTTACTCCGGCCTTATTGCCCGACCAGGATGGGCACGCCAAGCACGCAGCATGCAACGTACGCGGCCCTCTACCGCCTCAACGACCCGCTCTTCCTGCAGGACGTCCTCCTCGACGACGTCGTCCTGCGCACCTACGACGGCTGCGTCCTGCATGGCGCGACCAACGTCCTTGCCTACCTCGTCGGCCCCGGCATGACCGAGTGGAGCCAGCTCGTGCACGCCGTCGACGCGATCACACACGTGGCGCCGCTTGCAACCAAGACGCGCTACATCACCAAGGTGGGCTACGTCAAGGATGTGCTCTTTGAAGAGGTCATTACGTGGAACGACGACCTCCTCGTTGCCTCGATCGTGCACACGTCGTCGCACAGCCACCGGCCACGAACCTTGTCGCGCCGCCTGTCGGCGTCCGCACACAGCGCCCAGCAGGTAGACACGTCCGCACACAGCGCCCAGCAGGTAGACACGTTTTCGCCGTGTGCGAGAGTATCGACAGCCTCGTCGACACGTTCGTGGCGAGCTCGACCGCGTCGTCGCGCCGGTCGTCGTCGAGCTCGTCGTCGGTCTATCCAACGGCGCCGTGCTGCTTTGAGCTCTCGCACGCGTCCGTGACTGACCTCAGCGTCGTCAAGCCCCACCGTCCGATCCACGCTTACTTGCTCATCAAGGAATTCCCGTCCGGAAAGGTGCTGCACCGCTCGATGGTCATGAAACACGAGCGCGCGCCGCAGTGGCCGACACCAATCACTGTGGCATGCTCGCGGGGCTTTCGGCGCCTCGACATTTCCGTCGTTCACACCTCCCTCGTGTACACAAAGCACCTCGGCATGGTAGGAAGCCTTTTTCTGCAGCGTACATGTTCTCAGGATCGCAATCGGCTGCGTAGGTCAGCATCGACGCGTCCGTGCTGCCGTCCAAGGTCCGAGAGCAGTACGATTTCATGGGCTCGATCGTCGGCGACCCCGAGAACGCCCCCGACCTCTTCCTTACGTTTCACCGCTGCGACTCCAAGCACGACGCGGGCTCGTTGGATCGACTCTACGCCCCCAGCGACCTAGTGACGCCGCGTCCAAACTTGGCCGCACCCGCCGCCGACGCGCCGCCACCGACCATCCACTACCCGCTGCCTATCGACGCCGCCAAAGGCGAGCTTGTGTGCCACATGTTGCAGGCTGTGAGCCTCTCGCTCTTGTGTGTCCTTGGTATGGTATTGATCGAGTACAGCACTGTAAGCTCGTAAGCTATTCACACACGTCTTTACAGCGGTGGCAGGCTGAACGCACTCGTCGTGAGCTGCTGCAGCGGCATGAAGAGGCGGGCTTGGAGCTCCGGGAGCTTAAGCGACGCCCAGTCTTGCCACACCCACCCTATCCTTGATAAGCACATGCATCGACGCCATTGACGCGTGCTACCTTCGCACTTGTCGGGCTCGGTGAGCTCGGGCACTTGCGTCGCCGTGATCGTCGCTTGCATGAAGATGGTAATGTAGTGTTTTTCTAGCCAACGTTAAAAGGTCCGCTCGTGCAGTGGTCGCCTACCGTCGGCCTCCATGTAGTCGTTGGTTGTGTACGCCAGCGTGCAATTCGCAATGTCCAGATCTATTCGCATGCACATTGTGTGAGACCAAGGAGGAGGCGCATGCGTCGTACTCGTCTCCTCCTTCACCTCGCGGATCGCGCACTCTTCCCACGACTCGCCGAACTCCAGGTGGCCGCCTGGCATCGCAAATTCATCGATGCGCAGATCGTCTCCATGCGCATCGTACCTGGGAGCGCCAACTTGCCCGCGCCATGGGAGCCCTTCCGGACACCGATCAGAATACACCCGGGGTACTTGGGCGAGTAGATCAAGACACCGACCCCGACGCGGGGGACGGTCGTCGACTTGCGCAGCTCAACGACTTCGCTCTGCGCGGCAAAGAGCCTAGACATAGATCCACTTGCTTTGAGTCCAATCGATCGATGTGCGCACCGCTCCGTGTCGAGGGCCTCCTGCTTCTCGAGGAACGTCATGATCTCGTCGAGGTGCGCCGTGCTCGCAACCTCCTCCATCTGGCTGAGCTGGCTGTCAAACACGAAATCGTCTTGTCCGAGCGACGGTGCGCTAAAGTCTTGGCTCAGCGACGACGACCCAAACGACTCGAACGAGAGCTCGTCGCTGAGCGAGCCGCCGGCGAGCGCCATGTTTTCGTCCTGACTCAGCGTCGGGGCTTCATTGATCGACTGCAGCGCCGACGGCTGCGACGAGAGCGGCTGCGACTGGCTCATGACCGCGCTCGTCGCCGTGCTGAGCTGTGACGAGCACGCGAGCGACTCGTCCTTCTCCATGTACTTTTGGAGCAGCACCTTCATGCGCGCATTCTCCCGCGCGAGGAGGATCATCTTGTTGCGGGCTTCCGCGAGCCGCGACTGGTACTGCCGCAGGTCTTCGTCCGCGTCCGCAAGCGTCCGGCGCTTCTTGGAGGTCCCAGCCATGGCTTGCTTGTTCGATTTGCGACTGCCATGCGCCCAACACCCGCAACTTCGACCACATGTCGCACTTTCGAACTTCGAACTACCCGGGTCGACCATTGCCAGCACCGCGGTCGCTTCGTGCATCGCCCGCGTCCAGCAAGCCAGATAACTCAGAGACAAATAAGATATATACCAGTATAGAAGCAAGCGCAAGGTCAGACGCCGTGCAGCGACGCAGGACACGTAAGTTGACGTCGGTGCCGGCACGACGACGACGGTAGCCTTCGTCTCTCAGCGGCAACCCGCTCTGTCTTGTCGCCGCCATGGCCCGCGATTGGCCCATCTCCTCTCCGTGTGGACCGAGCTGTCAAGACGACACCTCGCATGACATATTGTCATGGATGGCGAAGACAGAGAGAGCGACCACTTCAACAACCCCACCGACCGGACGAGTCGCCTGGTAGCCAACTAGCGTCACCTGACGTTGCCGACGAATCGCTCCGCCAGACATGCGGATAGCTGCACGCAAGCGTTCTTCATTGATGAGATATGTACATACACCGCATGGTCTCTACGCGTCGTCATTGGCTTCGGCCTCGCGCGCCTTGGCCTCGGCGATCGCATCGACCACGCCGCACGCCGCTTGGAGCCACATGAAGAGCGCACTCACGACGGGACCCGCGGGCTCGACGTCGTCGATGCTGGTCTCGCCGAGGAGGTCTTTGGCCTCCTGCGTCAAGCTTGGCCGCGCCTCGATCGCATTGAACGCTTGGAACGCGGCCGCAAACGTCTCGGGCACGAGCGCCAACCGCACCTTGTCCCACGTCGGGAGCTTGGTCGCGGCGCTCATGTACGTTTCCTTTGGCGCGTCAAAGACGAGGCGCAGCACCGCAGCGAGCGTCCGAAGCGCGGGCAGCTTGAATGGCAGGAGGTACGCGGCGAGCTTCCCGATCCCTGTCAAGTACTTGGTGGCGACGATCGTCGAGAGCGCGTCGCACTTCATCGTGGCTTCCTGCAGCAATTTGGCATTCTCATCCTCGATTGTCTCGAGGACCGCCGCAATGCGGGTATCGCTTGTCGCGACAGCGTCTCGGAGCTCATCGAGCGCCCCTTTCGCCTCCTTGTCCTCGGCGCGCTTCCACTCGACCTGCGCCGTGTACGACCGCTTCTCGTATTGCTCAAACGCATCGGCAAAGGCCGACGACCACTTGAGAAAGGCTTCAATGCCCTCGGGTGAAAAGGGCCGGGCTTGGCCGATCGTGTCGACTGCGATGACGAGCCAGCTCTCGATCGTCGAGATCGAGTCGGACGAAGGCTGCACGATGTCGTCATGAAGGTACATGTTGTACTTGACGCCGCGGACGAGGTACGCGCCCATGCGCGGAATGCCAAAGTACTTGATGCGCGGCTCGCGGATGACATTCTCAACGTGCAGAAACGATGGAATCGCCGGTGGCGGGAGGTTGCCATCTTCGTCCGGCGTTGCATTCGGGTCCTCGACCTCGCGGAGGACGTCGTAGGTGAAGCCTGTCTCTTCCGAGATGAACTTGCCAAGCACGCAGGTCGAGTTGTCGGACGATGCGAACCATTCAATAAAGTTGGCACCCTCGGCGTCGGTCACTTTGCGCCCGAGGTAGCACGCCTCGGCGCCGGTCGCCAAGAGGAGCTTGGAGATCACGAGCTTGCAAAGGATGTCGACGTCGTCCGTCTTTTGAAGCAGCTCCCGCGTTGTGCTTTCCGCAATGAGCGCTTCGTCGTGCGCGAGCTTGAGCTTCCGGAGCGACTCGTTGCGCTTGGTGTCCTCTTCCGCGAGCACCTGCGCGTCCGTCTTTCGGCGCACAGTCACGCTCGCCACCTCGAGGCGCTTCTTTTCGTTGGCAACGTACTTGAGGAGGTACTTGCCGACGTACTCGATCGGGTCTTCAGGCTGGTCGAGTGCGAGCTGCGCCAGCGCCTCGGCCAGCGGCGTGCCCACGGCCGTCTTGAGGTATACAAAGTCGTACCCGTGCGCAGCCTCGGCCATGACGAAGCGTAGTACGACCCTTCGCCCAAGATCGGGTTTCGCGATTGGTTTCAAAACACGGAAAATCACGAAACACGAAATCGTGAAAGTTGGAAACGTCCAAACCATGGATATTATTGGGCACGTTACCACACCACCATATCCAGTTCAGTGTAAATTATATCTATTATAAATAGACTCACTTCAACAACCAACTCAAGTAGGTTGAGCAGTGCACGATTTATCCTGCGATTTATCATCCGTTGTGAGAACCGATCCACGCGCCGCCACCCGAGTCGCTCTTGTGGAACCAGATAGGACGAGTGTCCAATCGCGCCAGACGGCAAACGACTGGCGGTAGTGGTCAAGTAGTCATCGGGAGTAGAGACGACGCCTCTCTCATCGACGCCACCACGAGGAAGGGCCCACGAGCTTGCCAGTACGCTTGCCCGAGATGCTCAAAGTCCAGAGCTATCGATATCCGAGGGAATCATCGTGAGCCCCATCGCTCCGCACACTGTAATCCGTGGTGCGTGTGCGATGGATACATGACTTGGAATCTGATTCGCGTCTTCCACGGCCTGCCACGTGGAAACCTCCGAGACGCGATATATTAACTGTGTCGAGTATCGCGTGCCAGAGGTACTTGGGACAGGTCATACCTGATCATGCGTGTGTTTGCCTTTTTCGCCACCGTGGCACTGGCTCTGCAAGCAACAGCGATGAGCGCCTTTGACGACTCGGCGGCCCAAGCGGCCCTCGCCAACGCGGAAGCCTGGATCGGCAAGCACCTCTACAAGACTGCGGACGAAGCTGGCGGCGACGCCGGCGCCATCCTCGAGTCCGACATCACCTATGAACCGCTGCGCGTACCGCAATCTTCTACTTGATTTGGCTCATGTGAAGCGGCCTAGATTGTGCGCAACCGCGGCTTTACCGAAGACCTCGTGTTTGGTCGCCTCAACATCAAGCTGGACGAGAACAAGGTCATCACCAAGGTCTGGATCGGCTAGTAAGGACCAACAAGCATCCTTGCTGCAGATAATACCCTCCTCAATGTGAACTTGACGACGAAATCAAACACGCTGCATTTCGCATTGCAACGCTCGTAACCCACGGTGTAGTATAAATACAACTAGGAGTTTAAACCGACCGCCACCATGGTCCCGGAGAAGCAATGGCGCGACAAGGGCGACATGATGGACAAGCGGTATATGAGGCGCATATATTTGGCATCGGCGTCTCATGCGACGGCGATAGCACGGCGCGCAAGGTCCATGGCGTCGACTTTCGCAGTATGATTCATCGTCTTCGCGTGAGCCTCCTCCAGGGATCCAACCAGCACGAGGACGACAACTCTTCGTCGAGCGCCCACGAGGGAATCCAAGTCTATGTCCGGAAGCGCCCCATCTTGGAGCACGAGCCCAAGAAGAAGGAGTTCGACGTCGTCACGTGCTTGGACGACCACCGCCTCGTCGTCTACGACTGCCAAATGTACGCGGGTGCGTGCGTCCAAATGAAGTATGACAATATTGACCACATCATGGTAGACATGAAGCGCAAGTTTATCGAAAACTACACGCACACGTTTTCCCGCATCTTCTCGGACAAAGCAACGACCGACGATGTTTTTGACCGTGTCGGCGCACCCCTTGTGGACCACGCGATGGGCGGCGGCAAAGCGGTCATCATGATGTACGCCTTGCATTACACCTCCTCTCCACCGGTGGTCTCAAAGAAGACTAGGTACGGCCAGACAGGGTCGGGCAAGACGCACACCATGACGGGCTTTCAAGAGGTAGTTTCGAGTCGGGAATCCAGAGCTCATGCGGCGTACTAGCACATTGCCGACCTGCTCTTTGCGACACCGCAAGCCCCGTGGGACGTGGTGGTCTCGGCGATTGAAATCGCTGGCGCCAAGTGCTACGGTGCGCGCTGCGACTTGTGGACGTGGCTCTATCGGTGGATTTGAACTGGCAGATTTGCTCAAGAAGCGGCAGCGGGTGCTAGTGTGTGACGACGAAGGCGGCAGTAGCAAGCTCCTCAACATTGGTGAGCACGTCGCGACGTCGGCCACCGACCTTTTGGAGACTGTCGAGCGCGCACTCGCCCAGCGCGCGACCGAGAAGGTGCAGCTATCCGGTCTTTTGACCGCTGACGGCTTGGGATTGTAGACGGCGGTCAACAGCGTTTCGTCGCGATCGCATTTTTTGTGTTTCTTGACGCTGCGGAGTGCGTCAGGCGACGTCCGCGGCGGTCAGCTCGTGCTCCTCGACCTCGCTGGAAGGTACGAATCTCTCGATGTAATAGTTCTCCATGTGCTCAAGATACACTGGTAGCGAACGCAACGAAGACTCGTTTGCGCACTCGGCCGATCGGCGCAAGGAAACGATCGAGATCAATTCAAGCCACATGGCGCTCAAGCAGTGCGTACGGGCGCTGGGCGCCGAAGACGTCACTGGCTACGTGCCCTACCGAGCGTCCACGCTCACGCGGCTTCTCAAAGAGTCGCTTTGGTCCAAGGACGCGCGGGCGGCAGTCATTGCAACCATCTCGCCGATCGCGACCGGTAAGCTCAACGAGCACCACCCATCCTATTATTCGTCTAGACACGGAGCACACGCTTCACACGCTGCAGTACGCGAGCCTCATGCTGGCTGAAAACCCCGAACTCAAGCGGGAGCGCGTCGATGTCACGCCAGCACCGGCCGAGGTGCCGGTCAAGGTACTGTACACTGTGAGGCGGTTAGGGTAAGGGCTAGGGTTGTGGGCTAGGCGGCGCTGAAGGACTGGAGCCACGATGAGGTGGTTGCGTGGTTCAAAGGCATCAAGCGCGGGACGTTTGCGAAATACGCGACCAACATTGGCTCTGCGATTGACGGCAAGCAAGTGAGTCGGTTCGGTCTTCCGCGCTGGATCCAGATCTGCAACAACAACCACGTGGATGCGGACGCGATCTTCAAGGTCTTCAAGAAGGAGCTGAGCCTCCAGGAGAAGCTAGAGAAGGAGCGCCGCGCCCGCAACATCACGCGGGTCAAGCAGTAGTTGATCCTATTCTCGATCACGACTTGTATGCAACTTTCGATAAGGTTTATTCAACCAACACAAGACGAAGAGGCGGATAAGATTATTACGAGCTAGCAACTATTAGTTTAAAATTTAATGACGTCCAAAGGACCTACGGCGGGCACTTGTCCCCGAGTGCGGGCACGCAGCCAAGGCCCGGTATCAGACTCAGGAGCGCAACGACAAGCACGAATGCGAAGGACACGCCGCCGAGGACCAGCGATGTCTGACCCCACCGCCGGCGCGTGCCGCCAAACTTGCGGATGACCTGCGCACTCACTTTTTGGTTGGGCAGCCAGCAAAGACTCAGAATCGCGGCAAAGCCCCAGAGCGCGTTCAAGCTCGCGAGCTCGCCGTACGCCGACTGCGTCGCGTCGGATGTAAAATTGAGATTCGGCGCCAAGCGTGCCACGTAGGGATGCTCAAAAAGGCTGAAGAGCATCGTGGCGAGCGGGATCGGTGCGAGCTGCGCCGTGACGAGGAGGCTTCCGATCGTTGCTTCGTAGACCGGCTCGGTCACTTCGACGATCGGAAAGAGACTGAGCATGTAGCGGATGCCCATAGGGAACTGCACGAGGAGAGGCAGAAGGTACCACACGATGGGCCCGCGGCTCGTGTCGTACGCTAGGAACGATGCCTGGACAGCGCACAACACGGACGTGAGCAGCGTGCAGGCGAAGAACGCGACGCGCCAGTTCCATGCGGCGAGCGGGGACCGGCAGAGTAGCATCGGGAGCGCAAAGCAGAGAAGGCCGCCTGACACCATGAGGCCTTGGGTAAAGACGAGCGACTTGGTGAACGCGACGTCGTCCGACATGGCCGACTGGTTTTGCATGAGAAACTGCGTCTCGAACGCGAGGTCGACGTCGTGGCGCTTCCAGAACGACCCGGCGCCCGCCCCGAGATGGCTCAAGAGCGAGAACGCGAGCTCAAAGTACAAAATGTGCACGATCGACTTCTTCTTGAGAAGGCCAAAGAGGTCGGTTGCGCGCACGGCCCACGGCAACGACGGCGGTGCTGGCTCCTCGACGAGACGCGTCCACACAAACGGAATTGGCGACAGCGCCATGAGCGCCAGTGTAAACAGCAGAGCTTGGTAGCCAGAGCTCTCGGCCGTCCATGGAGCCGCCTGGCAGGTGCGAAAGATGGCCACGTACAACTGACCGGCGGCCGTGAGCGAAAATTTGATACCGGTCGCCAGCGCTTGGAGGTTGCCGCGCTTGGAGAGCCGCTCACGCTGCGCAAACTCGACGACGCGCGCGTCACCGGCGACGTCGGCGATCGTGACACCGATCGTGGCAACGAGGAGCGGCGCGACGAGGTTGGCACCCGCCATGGCCAGTACGCCCGCGACAAGGAGCCCGAGCGCCGCGATGGCCCAGCCTGCGACCATGTAGGACTTGCGGCGGTAGCTCAAGAACGGGTAGCAGTCGGACGCGAGGCCCACCAATAATCGCAGCGACGCCGGAAACAGTGTGAGGGCGACGGGGGCGTTGAAGATCGGGTACAATGGCGTCATGAGCGAGAGCACAGGCAGCTGCGAGTAGTCGTCATTCTGGGACTTACTGGATGAGGCAAGGTACAAGGATGGTAGCGCGCCGTAGAGAAAGCCGACTGCAACGAGGTTGGCGTACAAGCCAAAGCACGCTTTGGACACGAGCTTGATCGGTTCGCCGTCGTGAGCCCGCAGCGCGCCGCCGTCGCGCTCAAAGTGTATCCGGCTGACTGTGTCGTACGTCTGCCAGAGGTTCTCGGGCTGCACGACGGCGCCCGACTGCCGCTGCGCTGCGGGGCTCCGCAGCATATCTTGTTCGGCTTCAAAGACAAGACGCATCTCTTTCGGCATGCGCCGCCGCCGGTCGCGACCGACCATCGTCTGCAGCTGCAGCGTGTCAAAGATGTTGTCGAGTGGGTGATGGCTCGACGCGTCGTCGTCGTCGTCCGTGGCCACGGACCGCTGTGGCTGCGCGCGGTTGCCGCCAATGTGGCGCGCGGTCTGCATGTCCATGTAGATAGGCAGCGGCGACGGCTCGCTCTCCTCCTCCATGATCGGGATCACCGTCGGCTTCTTCTGGAAGAGGCCGGTCGTCTTGAGCATCCGCATCGGCGCCGGACGCTACGATTTCGTCGGTGGCGAAAATGCAGTGTGTAACCCAGCAGTGCCGGTCGTCCGGATAAACGCTGAACATGTTCAGACTGCCGCGCTCCTGGCCAATCGGCGACGAGTTTATCCGGATGCGCCAATGTTTTGAGTTTTTTCACGCACGTTCTTTTCGTCTTTGTATACCGACACGAATTTGTCCATTTTAAATGCCCCGACCCTCGACCTCCGATCCTCGACCCTCGAGCGCAAGGGAGTGAGCAGTCGCCTTGGCACATGCAGGCACGATGAGACGATATGTATTCCGTTGTGCGTACCGGTACATTATGAAGCCGCCAAACGATAGTGAAGGCAGCTGTGTCCGAGGAAGCCTGAATTCTCAGCCCGTGGCCGATCCACGCTTTGGAATCGAGCAACTTCAACACGCCTGTAGACGCGACCCTCGTTCCTCAAGGTCTCTTGACGTGTGCAGTCATTCCTCGAATTGTAGTTGAATATTGTCTATCCTTCCTACCGGGTAATACAAGTTATCGTTGGAAGTCGGCCGGCTTGGGCATCCTCTGCAGCAAGCCGCGAGCTGACGCCGATCAACGCGGAGTGATTTGGATGGGGATATGGACGCTGAATTCTTGCAGTCGCCAGCGAAATAGTGATCGCATCAAACTTCTAGATCAGCTCCGATCGTCCGATACAAGCGAGTGGTGCGTTGGTTGGTATACGTTGAAGCATTGCACGCCTTTCGAGGATTCGGACGCAACAATGCCACTGCGCACTCGGAGCCAGAAATATGCGGTCGACCGGCTCGATCCATCGACTAGAAGGTACTGGTTGCACAAATCCACCACCTACCCGCCTTGCAGTCCGCGTCAAAGCAACGCAACATCAATACTGATGACGCTTCTTCTTCGTCTTGTGCTCGTTTGATTGCGAGGCTACGGGCGTTGCCGTCGGCGTTCAAAGAGCTCGGTCTTCGTCGCTTTTTTATTCGATTAAATATGTATCGCAGTGTACAATGGGAGGGTTCGCTTTAGTGCAAAACGTTGTTGGACCATGGGTCCAAAGCCTCCTTGCCGTCGCTTGCCAACATGACATGGTGAAGCTCGACGGGGCTGAGCCAGTCGAGGGCCAACGGCGTCGAGAGCACTTGCAGACAAATGTCCCAGTCCCTCGGACTCAGTGCCGCTTCGATGTCGTCGGTCTCGCTCAGCGGATCGCCCATGCTCGTTGACCACTCGGGGCTCCGAAGCTCTGCTTGGTTGTCATTCTCACTCGCGTCGCTGTGGCTCGGCGTCACAGCGTCGCGCGTGAAGTGCGGGTGGCTGAACGTGCACACGCAGGCTTGCGTCTTGGTCCACTTGCGAAAGCCAAAGTAGTTGAGCTGGCGCTGGAAGCTCGCGAGTTTGTTGTGTTTAAAGTACTTGGGAAGGACCTCGCCTTCGAGGCGGCGGACGTTATGGAGCTTGATCGAGAGCCCGTCGAGCGACCATGCAATGATCGACGGGTCTTCGTGTGCGAGAATGTTGTAGAGGTGCCGAAGGAACTTGGGCACGCGCTTCGTCGGGTCAAAAGGCTCGTGGTGCTGGGGCATGGTGTTCGACAATGAATCAAGGTTCAAGCCACGCCGCGCCGATCTTCTGTGAATGTTCCGACGCCCACGTGGTGGCAAAAGCGGGGCTGCGACGATACACCACGCGAAACCGCCGCCTCGCGCCATTTTTCAAATTTGATTGGATCTTTATCCGGATCGCATGGCCCGCAGAGGCGCATGGCACAATAGTTTCTAGATTTCCAACAGATAGATCGTTCAGGGCGCTGCATTAGACGCCGTGGGACAAGGTGGCATCGAAAAAAGCAAAAGGCACGTGTCGCGCAAGAGACCTAGTCATTTGACTCATGGCGGTCCGTTGCCGTGAAATAAAAGTAGCGACGGCAGAAAAGCCTCCTAGTTACGTGACTGAACGAAGAGCCAACGTTTCATTCCACTCGAAGAGCTCAGTCCGTGCGACCAACGTCAGTTGGTTTCTCATGTCGCTGCTATAAGACCATGGGACTGGAAGGACCAAGCTCCAGGCTTGTTTTTTGAAAAGAACTCGGGCGCCACATCGAGCTCCTCGCTACTCTTAACTTCCGTGCGATGTGAGAAGACGGTTGCATGTGCGCCTGAAAGCAAGTGTTAAATCCAGTCGACCATCACGAGCATCAACCGACCATCATGCCCCTTGCCGATTCGAACTCGAAACAAGATCCCGTCGCAGTATTTTTCGAATTCTAATTTAGCCAAAAGGTGATTCCTTCAATAGCTCACAGTGTTAGTCGCGAAGGTCAGCATAATCGTCCTTGCCGTCGCCGTAGCGGTACTCAATGGGGTGACCATACACGTACCCGTCCGAGATCCACGTCCAAAATGTCTTGTGGCAGTTGGAGCACTCGTATTCGCCGCCGCGCGCAACCGAGTCTTCGTCAATGAAGCAGTCGTCCGAGCACCAATGGTTACAGAAGCAGCACTTGACGCAACCTTCGTGCGCTGCAAGTTCTGCTGCGTGAGCCGTGTCGGCCTCTTCCTCGGCGACGCGGGCAAGGTACGCTGGCGACGACGTGCCACCGTGGTAGCTGCCGCCAACTCGGCCGAAGTCGTCGCGGTTCTCATCACCGAGCTCTTTCAAAGCTTTCTTAAAGTTGGACGCAAACAGCTTGGACTCGGTCACGCCAAACTCGGCGAAAAGGCGCTTCTTGATCGTCAACGGTCCGACAAGCTGGGTTGCCACCGACAAGATATAGACAATACGCGCCTTCATCGTCTTGGCCTTGGCTTTGCGAGCTGCGTCTTGGCTGCTTGCGGTCTTCTTGGCCGGTGGCGCATCAGCACTTGGCGTAGGTTTCCGTTTCGGGGCCATTGTAGAATGATGAGATCCGTGACAAGCTCCTTTTACCATCATTCACGAGGCAGACGACATTCATTCACATACTTCTGGCCATGACGTCCTACGAAAGCGCCAGTCGGTCAGCTCCACAAGTGGCAGCACGACACTCTTTCTTGCAATACCCAGCGGTGCTTGGATCGCGACATCACACTCGTGCTCGGTACATGGAACTAGTCGTGCTACCTAGGTGGGCTGAGGTAGCCGATTTTTAAAAGCTTGCCTTATCCGGATGCAAGCAACCGGCATGTCTTTTCTTGGCCAATCACACCAACGCCGTAATGAGCAGCGCGCCGTCAACGTACTACACGTTCGCCTCGTTCCTCGGGCCCGATGTCGCCGCCACGTACCTTGCGCTACCACCGCTGGACCAGATCGCCCACTTTGAAGCGTACCTCGCGTACCTGACAGCGCAGCAGGTGCAATTTCCTACCTCGAAGCGTGCCACCAAGTGCCATGCCGAGCTGCGCGCGCCGTCACGCGACGACCTGCCGCTGCTGCAGACGCTGCTGGATGGCGCGACCATCAGCGGCTTTGGCGTTTGCGGCTCTCCGGGTGGCTTTCTGGCGCAGCAACCACTGAGCTTGGGCGCTGCCTACTTGGCGACCGAGGTCCGGCACGCCTATGTGGTGGAGAACCCGAAGGTTCTCAATAGCCGCAGCTTCATGTTTGGGTGGTGCCACGCCGAGAAGCAGAAGCTCGTCGACCTCCACGAGAAGCTCAAAGATGCAGCCGATCCACGCGTCTACTGGCGGCACGTTTCGATCGTTGTCGACCGCGCCATGTGTGCCGACTGCATCGGCTTTGTCTCGGCGTATGCAAAGCACTTTAATGTCGACGTATACGTCAAGGACCCTGCGTGCGAGCGCCAGTTCCAAGCCTCGGGCATCATTCGTGATGCGTATACCTAACCAGAACCAGTTCTAGAATCTCGCTCATCTTGTCACCTCGGGCCCAACTTCGTCAAACGATGCAATCCAACATCATCGTAATCTCAATCTCAACAGTGCTGTTGTCCTTTCGATTGGCATGGAAAAGCCTCTGAAAAGGCATATTTGAGACTTCAAGAGTGCAACTCGTTGGTCACGGAGGTGGAGGATGCTTATTTTTCTGAATGCGCAGTCGACAGCGTAGCGAAAGCAAGGCCAATGTTTTCACTGGTCCCGGGCGCCACAACACTGCGACGAAGCACTCGCGTCTCTGTTGCGACCGACTCGAATTGCACATGAGTGGTGATCCGCGCAGTTATCAACGCCCGCGACAACCGTCGACACCCTGTCTACCGCGCCAGTAATGGGTGCCACCTCAACCTCATGAAGAGAGCACCTGGGTGCCTCGCGTCCAGTCGTGTCGCCAAACTATCTGTCTGTCCGCACCTCGTGGAGCCTGTCGGCGAGCGCGCTCTGTTTGCCCACGCCGCCGTCGCCTGCTCTGTCGCCTTGGCGTCAAGACATGGAATGTGGAAATACTATCTGCTATTGATAATCGTGAAGTCTTATTCCTTGCTAAACGCGCGTTCCTGCGCCTTGTCGGCCAGCGTTTGCCAGTTGGACTTGTACAAAATGAGCGTCCCGATGAGCATTGCGCACGTGTAGCCCATGGTCATGCCGACCCAGAGGCCGGGGAGACCCATCTCAAAGTGAAACTCAAAGAGGTACCCCATTGGCAGGCCAAAGCAAATGTACGACACGAAGTTGATGACGGCGCCATAGTTTTGGAGGCCGCAGCCGCGGAGCGCGCCTTGGATCGCAGAGTTGAGCGCGTTCACGAGCTGGAAGCCAGCGACAACGACCGCGACCTCGGCCGCGAGCGCAAGCATCGCCTCGTCCTGCGTAAAGAAGCGCGGGTAGACAAAGCGGAAGGCGTACACGCAAATGCCCGTCACGATCGAGACAACGCCGCCGAGCGCCGTCGCCGTGATGGCCGAGACCTGCGCGCGCTTGGGCTGGTTGGCACCGAGGGCGTTGCCGACGCGGATGTTACCCGCGACAGCGATACCGAGGTAAAACATGTTGACGGTCGCCGTGATGTTGACGAGGACAGCGTTGGCGCCAATGGCCACCATCGCGTTCGGGAGGAGACCCGAGAGGAGCGCAATGATCTCAAAGCTCCACCACTCGAAAATCATCATGAGCATGCCTGCGAGGCCGAAAAAGATGAACTCGGGAATACCGCGGCACGCCGACTCGATCTGCCAGCCGGGCCAGAACGCGAGGTTCTTGGCCTGGGAAAAGTACGGCACGAGCGAGAGCGGAAGCGCCATGTTGCCGAGCGTCCGGCTCACGGCCGCGCCCATGTAGCCCATGTTGGTGTGGTTCACGAGGAGGTAGCCAGCGACAAGGTTGACCACGTTGCAAATGATGGCCGAGTAGAGCATCGGCCACGTCACGTTCTGGCACTGCAGCACCTTCTTGAGAAGCTCGTACGCGTACAGAAAGGGCAAGCCAAGCGCCATGACGCGCGAGAACGAGCCCGCGAGCTCGGCGACGTCTTCGGGTTGCTGCAAGAAGATCAAAATGTCGGCGCTGAAAAAGTTGGCCAAAAAGACGGGCAGAAACGCCGCGAGGAGCACAATGCTGCCCGTCTGGAGGTACAGGCCAATGTGCTTGACGTTGCCGGCGCCGTACGCTTGCGCGCAGAGCGTGTCCATGGCGGTCGCAAGACCAATACCGACCGAGAGGCCCGTCAAGTTCAAGTACATGACGCTGAGCGCGGCCGCGTCAACATACTTCTTGGTATCGTCAGCCGCCATCTGGCCCACGAGCACGAGGCTCGTGAGGCCCGGCGTGAGCTCGAGCACATACGTCATGACCTATTTGCATTGATGAGCCGTGCACATGGCACGTATCCAAGCACATACCACGGGCGACGCGAGCTGGTACACGTGGCGGACTTCGTCGCGGAGCACAGCGCGGAAGTTGGGGCTCTGGACGAGCGAAGGCGTCTTGGGCAGGAGCGCGGTCGTCTCTTCTTGGACCCGCATGGTCGCTCGAGGTCAAATTGGAGTGTGACGGTTTTGCGGCAACCTTCAACTAGGATTGAAAACCTCTGACATTTGATATTAACTTTCAATCGCTGCATTCTGACTGGAGGTTGAAGATCGTGCCTTTCAAAGATCCCACAGCCAAAGAAAACGTACCACGGTCCTCGCCCAATCAAAACCACGACCACAGTGCACTCCCTCTTAAAACGCATACCTTGACGAAGACGATAGATTTGCAGCGGCAATTTGGACGCTCTTCCTCTCTAAAAAACCTCTCGAAAAGACATACGCTCTTTCGGATTGCACGCCTGACGCTGCTGACACGGCGGCGCGCGCCAGTGAGAGCGAAAGGCGCGGGAAGAGATCGCGTCCTGCCGCGACCTGATAGAAGACGACTGCGCCTGCGTAGTCATACACACGCCTTTCGATTCTTCTCGTCGAAAGAAGTTTCTGGCTAGTTTGGCCGTTGGTTCGAATTTGGATCGCGGACCAGCTTGGCCACGAACGGGACAAAGATGGAAGATACCCGCCGAGACCCTGGTGCACCGCATGACGGCGGCTCAGTCGCACTCCCCTCTGTACCATGGAGAGGTACAGTCGACATGATCTCGCCATTGCCGTCGTCGTCGTCGTCGTCGTTCTGGTTGTTAAAACATCGCCAGCTCCCGTCACGACGGGGCGTGCCTAGTGGGCAGGGCGAGATTCGAATCAGATGCAATGTAAATCGTTCAAGCCCACCTTCGTCACTGTCGTCCAGCGACAGAGTAGCCAAAAGCACGGAGGGTGGCGCATGCTGCGCGACAGGTGCTGGCGGGCGCGCCGAGGCACCCAGCGACAGCCGGCGCCGCGCGTACTTGGCCACGACCGCGTGGCATTCTGGTAGCGATGGCATGCTGGGTTTTCGTGGGCCACAATCCACGTGGACCATGGGCTCGACGTCGCTGGCAACCTCGCGAGGCAATTCGGCCACAATGCTGCCCTTGGCCATCAAGTCGGAGAAGATCGTTAGAAGGATTGACACGTTGACGACGTGAGAGAGACAGCACACCTTGTCTTCTTCGGCAGCAACGGAATCGGGCTGCACAAGCAGCGGCGCCGCGATGGCGTCGGCGCCATTGAGGAAGAAGGAGCTCAGCGCTTGCCGCACCTGCATAGTCATGGTTGATTCACGGTGTGTCATCCAGTCGACAAACCAATTCAAGTTCGTTGGACAAAAAGGTATTGCGCAGCGCCTCGTACTTGGCAAAGATGCGAAACACAGTCCGTGTGCACGCATCCAGGTGCGCGAGCGCCGCGTCGTGCTTGTCCGATGGCTTGGCGGCGCGCGCATAGCTATCAAACTCGAGCTTGGCCTGCGCGCGGGCCTTAATGTCGTTCTACATCGCATGGCGTTTCAGTTGCAGCGTACACTCCTCGCGTCGCACGGTCTGCGCCTCGAGCTCAGCAAGCTTGATGCACAGCGACCGGATAGCGCCCGTGATCGTATCGTCCTACGCGTTTCATTTGAGCATTGGCGCGAAGATGAAACTCAAAGCGAGGACCACAGAGTAGTACTGGGTCTTCATGATGCGTGACGGCGCGACCTGGCGCAGCGCGGTAGCCAACGCCTCGGGGTGCGTCGGTGGCACCTGCCCCAGGTGGCTCGGTGTTGCAAGGCACACGACCTCGTTGGCGAGTGCTGTTGTCGCACTGCAGAAGAGCTGGAGGCTGCAGCGATAGCGCTCGAGCTCCCGTAGCGTCGCGCGGACATGCGTGACGAAATCTTGAAACTTGAGCAGCTCTCGCTGGTACACACCGTCGTCTGTCGGAGTCGTCTAGTCGAGCTCATGGGTTGTATATCTTCCAGAAGAGGGCGTACTTTTCCAATGGCCTGGAGAACTTCCTGCGTGATGATGCGCTTCTTGCGCCAGAAAGACTGCGTGAGCTTCGTCTCCATCCCGTGTCGACTTCGCCTCTCGAGAAATTAGACACAAGAAAGGCCACGTATATATAGATAGCCTAGCGACAAAGGACGACTAAAATTACCCGAGCTTGCGATTGTTGCTGCATGCAACCGTTCCTTGTAGGTTTTGGAAAGGCGGCAGGCATCCGCTGCTTCCTGTAGCCTTCTCCACGCAGGCGATCAAGTGCGCCTCGTACCATTACGGTATTGGTCTATATAGAAGAGACCGCTGTGTGGGTGCAAGCCTCGCTTGCTCCCGTAGGCGACTTGTCGAGCGTTGGGCTCCTCTCGCATGGTCATACTCGAAGGCGCGAGAGAGGATTCCCTGCTGTGGCTTGCCTCAAAAGGCGAATGTTGGTGAACACCACTCTGGATCCTAACACGCCACATTGTGTTAGAATATTATAACAGTCTAGCACCAATGTAGCCTTCGCATTTGTATACGATAGAGTGTTATTGCTGAATTATAGCTGCATAAAGATCCGGCAACTCGCCTTCCCACAAGACAAAGCGACGACACGCGATGAACCCGCCGCCGCCGCCGTACATCAACGTCCCGCCGCCTGCGTACACGTACACGTCGGCGAGCATGCACATCCAGACACAAGTGACCTTGTCTGCGGCCTCCGCGCCGTCGGTACCTCGGCGCAGCTCTCCTGGCAGACGAGGCTGAATTGGCATGGGCGGTAGGGTCCGCCGGCGAAGGTCGGCGAGATCAAGCTCTGGGACACGCCCAAGGAACGGCGCATGTACGAAGACCTCTCAGACCTCTATGCGATCATCAAGGTACCTTGCCTTCCTGCATCCATGCGCATGTGCTCATCGACGTGCAGACCACCGAGCATCTCGAGACGGCGTACGTCCGTGACGCCATTTCGCCCGACGCGGTTTGCCTCTCTTGTGCCTCGCCCATGTCATCCATGCACGAATAGTACACGGAAGCGTGCACCAAGCTCATCTCGCAGTACAAGACGACCGAAACCGCGCTGCGCAACGCGGGGCACCTGGTCTCGATCGACTCGTTCTTGACACACTACCGCCTCGACTGCCCGCGCGCGATTGAGCGCCTTGTGCGCCTCGGCGTTCCCGCGACCGTCGTGCACAACACGACGAGCAGCAGTTCGGATACGGTCAACGTCGCCCAAACGGTACAAGGCGCAATTAATACCATGCCAATACTCGATGAGCGTGTGCGCGTAGGTGCAACATTGCATCACGCTCTCCGACTACCTCAAGCTCAACGTGCGCGCCGTGGACGAGATCCAGCCGCTGCTGAGCGAGTGCATGTCGAGTCTCTCCAAGGTCAACGGCCTTCCGCCGACGTTCGAGGGCCGGGTCAAACTGGAGCAGTGGCTCCGCGTCCTCAACGCCATGCGTGCGTCGGACGAGCTCGACGACGACCAGATCCGTCAAATGAGCTTTGACCTGGAGCGCGCCTACACGGGCTTTATGGCCTTCCTCAACAACCCCAAGCAATAGTTAACAACAAGTTCACGTGTTTGGGGTTTCAAGTTAAGAATAGGAAGAATGTTTTACAGGGGCGGCGTCGGGCTCGCCGAGTGCAGAGACCAGCGCCGGAGACGGTCGTTCATGCTGCACGGACCGTGCACGCCGAGGTGTGCCATCGCCGCCATGAGCCGATCACTCTCGTCTTGCATCGCTTCGACTTCGTCGAGCATGCGCTGCAGGGCGGGCGTGAGAAGTTTGCGGCTGCCAAACGTGCGAGGTTTGGCACAGCTCACAGCGCGGTACTTGGTCGTCGGCGACGCGGTGGTCGCGGGAGTGAGCTTTCGTTTCAGCGCCACAGTCGGAGGTCGCGGCGGACGGGCGATGGGCATGATGGCAAGGACTGCCGGGGCAGGCGGCAGCGAGACGTCGGGCAACTCAATGTCGGATAGGTCGTCCTCGGTGTCTTCGTCGTCTTCGACTGCGACAGTCGACGCAATCGAATGCCGCAGATCGTCGTCGCACTCCGAGTCGCACTCCGAGTCGAGCGTCGACTGCATCGAGTACGTCCGGCGATTAAAGTCGACGACCTCGTCGTCCGAGTCCAAGAGATGATCGGGCTGCTTTGATGTCCACGCTGGCGACGTCGGGTTCTGGACGACGACGATCTCGCGCATGTCGAGCACGAGCTTACCCGTGCCATCGAGATGGCGGGCAGAGGCAAGGGCAGAAAGACCGAGGCAGCTCAGTGCGAGACCCGTCAGCGCCAGCGCGTCGAAGCTGTACACGCAGCGCCACACGCTCAAGAGAAAGAGCAGAATGCCGATTGACAGTGCGCACTGCCGCCATGGGTCGCTCGCATCGCGCACGTCGCGCACACCGTCGTAGACGATCGGGGCAGGCACGGCCGGTGGCACGCGCCAGCCTTTTTGCGCCGTCCGTCGCTGCGTACACGCGACGCCTTTCAGCGTCGCATGTGGGGCCGCTGCAAGAGAGGCCGTCATCGGCTGCGATTCCAACGTCGAGGCCACGGCGGGAGCGAGGAGTCGCAAGCGCCGGCCTTCCTTGTTGACGACAACAAAAAAAGTGTGTCACCATCGCAACGTACCTATTTTTTTACATGTCCTGTGGCACAAATCGTAGTTTAATAAAATCCGATACACACCTTCAGTTTCCATTTCCATTTCGAATAAAAAATACTTGGCTACCCCGACTCAATGTTGCCTTTGAGCCGCGCCAGCTGGCTCGTAAGTCACAGCATCGCTCGCTGCTGCCGGCGCTCAGAGGCGCGGCGCAAGCGTGTTGGCTGCGTCGTTGACACGTGCTTTGAATCCTCGGGGTCGAGGCGGCGATGCGCTCTGCCCGATGCGGCGCGCCGCAGGAGAGCGACAAGGTGTCGAGCTGTCGTCTGGTCCGAACTGGGCTTGGCTACTTCAAGGTTCAACGCAGCCGCCGCGACAGGAAGATGCATACGAAATGAAAAGCCACCATCAAATTGGTGGCTGCTGGCAATCACGCAGGCACGGCAGTGGCATCGTGGGTACACCGGCCCATGCCACGCAGCTCGAATTGGCGCAGCCCCTCCTCTTTCTCGATGCCCTTGTGACACGGAGCGCGATGTGAAATGAATGAACGACGGCGTCGCAACAGGACTCGAGCCGACGCAGCGCGAATAAAGGCCCGCGAAGTCCAGCGCTGGATTGCAACCATCATACATCTCACGAGGGCGACGAGCAGCGGAGGAGCCAGACCCTGCGACCCGAGCCGCACCTGCCAGACTCGTGCGTTCGTCCAAGCGGCGTTGCTTCCTGGCATCAGCTGCATGTATCGCCAACGCGACTAGCCAATGCTACCCTTGTGCGCTGCATGGGATCGATACCCGAGACACGATGCAACCTGGCGACTTGCATGCGTACGGGTTGCTGGCGACTGCCCGGGGCATCCGGATACGGTTGTCGCAACCGGTTGGCAATTGGCGTGTTTGGGGCAGCCGACGAGACGATGGGCATCGTGCGCTGCGTCTTCTGCCAGAAGGACAAGCGGATCCCGGGGGTCGGGGACCCCGACGTCCGAGACATGCGCTTCTGCTGCCAGCCCTCGTGCTTCAAGGCCTACCACAGCCGCGGCAACTTTGTGGACCTCCGCCACCGCGAACTCGTCGCGCCGCACGTGATCTTGGCCGACATTGCCAAGCAGCGCCGAGAAGCCTTGGGCATCGAAGAGCCGCGTGCGCCAGCGACCGCGCCCACCACGGCGCCGCCGGTGGTGACTGCCCCGGCGACGACCTACGTGCCCATCGCGCCCGAGCCACAATATGCTGTCGATGCGTCTGGCCGTGTCATTGGGCGAAAGCGCCAAGGCGTCGACGAGCCACTCATGAGGTCGGGCGGCCCAACGTACCAGTCGCGCCACTTGTCCCCGGCGGTTGCCGACCGCGCAAACTTTGCCAAGCGCGACGGCCCGCCGAACGACGCCCCGCCGCCGCTCTGGAAGCAGGCGACGTACGTGGCGTCGTTGGACCGGTTCCGACGCAGCCTTGTGACTGACGACGAGCATGTGTTGCGCGTCGACTTGACGCCCGTCTACTCGGGCGTGCCCCATGCCCGCTTGGAGGACGCCGAAATGGACTGTCTCCTGCGGTACTACGATGATGATCTGTCCTTCGTCTCACTTGCCGCGTCTCTCACACCTTGATGTGTCTAGCTGTCTCGAAGGAACGTCGTCGCTCACGGTCCTCAAGGGTCTCGTGTCAAGCCTCAACATTGAGCTCTGGACCGTCATCAACTTCCTCGACAGGTCATGCTTATCCTACGCGACACATCGATCGACTCACGCGGATTGTAGCTGCTCACCCAACGCCCACTGGTCGTTTGCGCACTTTAAGATCTACAAGTCGACGGAGCTCCCGCCGAGAGGCTCGACGTCCCCGCTGTACTACGCCGGCAATATCCAGCTCTCAATCGCCGAGTTCCGCAAGTACATCGTTGCGACGCAGCGCGCGCCGGCGTCCATGGTCCACGTCGTCGACGTCAACAACAAGTCGTGGTCGATCGGCCTCCACGAAGTGCTCGCGCTCGGCGGCCTCAACCTCGATCTCTACTGCGGCGAGGTGCGCTTCCGGATCCATCTTGCTCGTCTCACGATGCTCATGGTCAACACACCTAGATGGCGATGGACTTGAGCCGGCAGTTTGCGTGGTCCAACATCCTGCCGGGCGGCGCCGACTGCTGGCTGCAGAACCTCCCGGCGCCGTACCGCCACGAGCGCTTTGCACCGCGTATGCATTGCAGCTTTGCGGGCCACCGGTCCGAGCTCCTCCAGGCTGGCAACGGCTCGACCGACGTCGCGTACCAAGTGCTCCACGGCGAGCTCGAGCTCATTGTGTTTGACCAATACCCGCCGTCGGCGTGCCTCCGCCTTCTCGACTTTCTCGATCGAATGGGGTATCAGCCCCATCGGCGCGCCGAGATGCTCGACAAGTACCTCGACAACCTCCAGTGCGTTCGGACTCGACAGGACGCCGAGTTCTTATCTGTCGTGCGCGTAGACAGTTGGGGTACACGTCGCACAAGGTGCGCCTGCAGCCCGGCGAGTACCTCCACATCAACCGCGTATCGATACATACCGTCGGTGCATTCGATTGCTCATCACGAGGTGCGTAGGGCCGACTGCACATGTGGCGCAGCGTTCACGACCCGGACACGGCCCAGCGCGGCATCTCGATGTTTCTGAGCTGGGAGTGGGTGTACCAAGGCGTCACGGGCGGCGGCATGGCCGACGCCATCGCGGTGCGTGCCTTGTACACAGATCGGCTGTGGTGTGTATCGATCGAGGTGTAGTACTCGCTGCAACGCCTCCAGCGACCCAGCGCCGAGACGCGCCCCGGGTCGTACGTGTGGGACCCGCGGCCGTGCGTCATCGAAGCGGTTCGGCGGCTCGTCGCTGCCGTGCGGTCGGGCCGCCGGTCGCCCGCGACCATGCTGCGCCTCGCCTCGCTGCGCACTGCCTTTTACGCGATCCTCCAAGAGGAGCAGCGCGTCCAGAGCGACGGCGACGACTCGTGGTTTGTCCACGAACGCCATAGCGACAGCCACGTCACGCACACTGTCGACCTTGGCGCCCGCCCGGAACACCTCCTCTGCACCCTCTGCCGGTGTGATATCATTGACGTCCAAGTCCGTGACGCGTGGTATGTAGGTTGGAACTCGGCAACAGCTACAAGCAGTGCCTCGGGTGCATGATTTTGGCCAAGAAGCCCGCGACCGGGATCCCGCTGCCGCCGTTCAAGCTCTGCTGGAGCTGCTTTGTATCGGACGCCGACCACCACGTGACGTTTGAGCACCAGAACGGCCTCCGGTCCGGCTTTGGCCACACGGGCGCGCTCCTGCATTCGAAGCAGTACCGAGCGAATCCGCACGCCGTCGACTGCAGCTGCAAACACGGCGTCACGAAGCTCTGTCCTGTCTGCGACGGCTGCGACGCGTGCGCGTGCATTTGCCACACGATGTTTCAGACGCGGTACCGCGCGTTGCGACCAGGTAATCCATGACAGAGTGTGTCTGTGTGCGATGCCATCACGGTCGATGTAGACGAGCTTCTGCAGCTGTACGGCGCCGTCTCGACCATCCTCCAAGCCAACAGCAGCACGCTCCCGACGAGCACCGGTGCGCGACTCCACTAATGAATCGCCATATCTTTTGTGCATACGTCGGTGCATCTCCTTCGATTCGCATGGACACGGCGCGTTGACCAACGGATACAGTGGGCACGGAGTCAGAGGTGGCTACTTCGACACAATTGCCGAGAAGTTTCAACCGTGCCGTGACGTGGCGGCAGGAGAACGCGTGTCCAGATAAACGCGCCAGAGGAAAGGCCGGGCCCAGAAGAGTTTACTGTCTAGAAGCTCGCACCGGTCTCTGCACGAGCTACAAAGACCCGACGCGGGTTGATGGCAGTTGCCCACGTTGGTGGACGCGCGATAGAAACGCCACTTCGAAATTTGATGGATTCCGCGTTTTGCCGTCCCATGCGCAGTCATCATGTCGACTAGCAAGCAGCAGCATCTCCAGCGCAACAATGCAGTGCTCAACCTTGCCGCCCTCGCGCCGACGCTCGAGCCACCGCTCGTCCCAAAGCAACCGGATTGCATGGACTTTGACATTTGGCGGCAAGTGCTCGAGGCGCCCGAGATGGTGCATCGTCCCGCCCTCTCGGGCGCCGTCCCGATTCGAGTGGCGACGGCGTCAAGGCACGAGTCGGCGATGGAGACACTCCAGCGCCAGTTTGCCGAGGCGTCGTCGTACAAGCGCAGCTCGACATTTTAATGTGTTGTTGTTTTCCATCCACTTATTTAATACAAAGGCCGTCGTTCAATCTTAGATCTCACGCGACCGAGAGCTTGAGCGTGGCGACCTTGGCGGTGAGGTCGTTCAGAATCGCCTTGGCGTCCGCGATGAGCTGCGTCTCGGCGGTCAAGACGTCGTGGACCATGCGCTCCTTCTCGTCCGAGAACGATCGGCCCGACGGCGTCGTCGGCTTGGCCGTCCGCAGCAGCTTCTCCGCGTCCATGTTCATTTGCACCACTTGCGGCGTGAGGCGGCGCACTTGCGTCTGCATGTCGACAAGGTCTTCCTTGTACTTGATCTCGGCCTTGGTCACCACCACTTGGTTGTCGCGAATGGCTTGAAGCGCCGCGGCCGCGCGCGCGTTGAGCCGCGCCTGCGTTGCTTGCACGTGCTTGACGCGGTCCGAGAGCGCGATCGTCGAGGCTTCGAGCGCCGCAATGTGCTTTTGAAGCTCGGCCATCGACGACGTCTGCTTCGTCGCCATCTCCTTGTGCAAACTCAGTCGGTTGGACGCGAGCAGCTGGAGTTCCGTGAGGTAGGCGACCTCGTCGTTGAGCTGCCGCACATGATCCAACGTGAACTGGACCGTCGCCATCGTCGCGTGCGAAAGCGGCGTCGCGCCGGCCACGTGCGCGGTCGTCGTCGACGGGCGCTTGGCGTTGGTCGCGTCGACGAGATCGCGTAGCGGCACAAGCGACGATGACGACGACGTTGGCGGCGACCGCAGCTTGGTCGCTGTGACGCTGGGCACGACGGCGGCGCTGACGTTGACGATCTCGAAGGCCCCCGAGACGAGCTGGACCACAATCAAGTGACCGAGTTCGACCGTGTGGAGAATCGACGCGCCAATTGCGTGCGACGACGCGAGTGCGTTGGGTGACACGGAAAACACGCGGCGCACGGCGCTGGTCACGGGTCCCGTGAGCGGCGAACGCATCCAGTGGGCGTGGATGACGTGGACGCCTAGACGCACAAACTGAGTTTCCAGAATCCGACTCATCGCATACTGGTCGAATGCAAGACGTAGACAAAGTAGGGCAAATGGGCTTTGGCACGGAGAACGGCCTTGCCGCCGTTGGCGTCCGTACCGAGATCGAGGACCTCAACCACGTACAGCGGCGACGGCGGCGGCGGCGACACGTGGCTCGACTGCCACAATGGCCGCGCTTCTTTCGCCAGCACCACCTACAACAAGCCATTCTGTGGTAAGTCCCTCGATGCTATAGAAAAGAAGAAGACTACGTACGATTTCAACATGGCCAGACGAGTAGGCGACCGCCAGCACAGGGTGCTGGCCAATGTTGTTGTCCTGCAGCGGGTACGGGACCGCACTCAGCGAGCGTGCGGCAGCGTCGGACGGCCGCGTCCACGACGCACCCGCGCGCTGGAACGGGCCTTGCAGCTGCAGTGGCCAAGTGTGCGGGCGGAGACCGGACGTTGTGCTGATGCGCGTCGTGGGCACAAGGGGCGCCGGGCGGGGCTCGTCCTCCTCGTCGTGGAGCGGGGCGCTAAACTTGCTCACGGCGGGGCGCGACACCGCCGTGGGCCAGAGCTCGTCGAGCCAGTGGCGCTGCGCCTTGAGCACGACCGTGGCTTCCTGCGAGGACGCGGTCGATAGAAGCGCTTCCGTCTTTTGCTTGAGAAAGACAAGCAGCGACGTAGCGACCGCTGCCTTGGTCGATGGCACGAACGGGTTGAGGGCGTAGACGTCGCCGTTGGAGCGAAGGATGTACACTGTAAAGACTTCCCACCCTGTCGACGGGCCAAACGCAATGGCGGTCGAGTGCACGGCGGCCGATGTCGTCGGCGCACAAGCGAGCGCATGGACTTGGTCCGTCGAGCCGTCGTGGACATCGACGAGCCGAAGGTCTTCAATCGTACTTAGGATAGCGACGTGGGCGTCGCTCAGCGGATGCCAGAGCGCGTGCCGGCTGCGGACGTTGGGTGGCAGCGTCACGCGCTGGAGGTCAATGTCAAAAACATCTTGGCAGACGGTCTTGACGTTCGCTCGCTCGTCGCTTGTGAGTGCGTCCATAGCACGCTGCAAGGTATCCACGCCCTGTCTCTTGGAGAGCGTCACAGCACGGCTCGTACCGTCCTTGAACTTGACGAGGACGCGCTCGCCTGTCGTCGTGGACGGCACGTTGCGGGCGCCGAACGGAAGCTCAAATGTATACAAGTCGCTACCTGGCGTCGCATTGCTCGCCGACGCCTCGACGAGGACGCGCGTGCCAGACGCGTTGAACGACAAGCCAGTGGCCGTCGCCAGGGTCGCAGCCATCGCCGGCGTCGTCGTCAGATCGTGCAAGATTGGCGCCGCATGTTGCACGTTGACGTAGCAAAGGCGGCCTTTCGCACCCAGGACCACGATTGAGCCCGTCGCTTCGTGCGCGCACATGAGGTTGACGTGGATCTCGGGCAGCACGTTGGCCAAGACCGCCGGTGCGATCGAGCTCGCCAAGCCGAGGACGGACTTGAGACCGCCGCTGGCAGGGGCTACGGCCTTGGCCTCCTTGGCAGTGCTCGTGGCCGGCGCCGGAGCTGCCTTCGTGGCAGGGCCTTTGGACATGCTGAAGAGCGGAGGCGCCATGGACGTCGGGGCCGCGGCCTTTGTCTTTCCTCCAGTGCTCCACATTTTGTGTTGTGAACGGCTCGTAAATAAAACAGCCAATTCGAGTACACTACACTGCATCATTGTATGCCTCATTTAAAATGTGGAATATTAATTTCAGGATATAAAGCGTTTCTACCAATCAAAACCGACCGTCCTATCTACGAAGTTCGCATTGGAACTTCGAATGTCAACTGCGACGAGCGGGACGATGGCGACGCCGAGACGGCCGCGCGTCCTTGTGGCTGCGTCCGGCAGCGTGGCGACGATCAAGGTGCCAGAACTGGTCGTGAAGCTTGCAGAATATGCAGAGGTACCGGGCCCTTCGTGCAAAAGGAAGGCTAACTCGGCGAATACTGACAGGTGCAAGTGGTGCTGACCAAGTCGGCCAACTTTTTCCTCCCCAAGGCCGCTGCGTACAACCCAACAATGTTTGCGGCGTTCGAAGCGCTTAACGTTACGATCCATCGCGACGAAGACGAGTGGAACGCGTGGAACGTCATTGGCGACCCAATCCTTCACATCCAGGTAAGCCTTCTCCCTACTACGGCAACGACACCTGCGAGTCCATAGTTGCGGGACTGGGCGGATGTGTGTGTTGTCGCGCCACTCTCGGCGAACTCGATGGCCAAGCTCGCAAACGGCCTCTGCGACAACCTTTTGGTATTTTTGATTGTCACTCATATGCCACCAGGAGCTCACCAAGTCACGACTAGACGTGCGTCGCTCGGGCGTGGTCGCAGTCCAAGCCGCTTCTTGTGGCTCCGGCCATGAACACACAAATGTGGGCACACCCGTGCACCGGTAAACACGTTACTATCCTCCAAGACGACTTTGGCTACCGCGTGATCCCACCCGTGAGCAAGATGCTGGCATGCGGCGAGACAGGTCATTGACCGCTACGATCATGTCAGTTCAGCTCTCCGATCTCGTAGGCAATGGCGCGCTCGCGGCAATCGATGACATTGTAGCCCATGTGCGTCGCACGATCTAGCTCATCCCAAAACTACACGGTCTATTCTTCGACGAGTTCGTCTAAGTTATCTTCCACGTCCTGCATATACAGACTCTTGTCCATGGAGGCTGCGGCCGCGTCGGGCGCCGGCCGCTTCTCCTCGTCCTCGTAATCTTCGACGTCGTACTCGTCGCCCGCGGCGCCGTCGTCGTCCTGGAAGAGCGTCGGGTCGAATGTGAAGAGCGCGCGACCACTGAGCGTGTTGAGACCGCGGTTGCCCGACTTCTTGGCTTCGTCCTTGCGGCGCTTCTCGTCCTCGACGACCTTGCGCTTGGCCTTCTCGGCCTTCCACTTGGCAAACGACTCTTCCGTGACGGGCGTGCCGCCGTTCGCGCCGAGCTTGGCGCGCTGCTGCTCAATGATCTCTTCAATACTGACCTCGTCGCCCTTCTTCTTGCTGTTCTCGCGGTCCTTCTTGGACTGGAAAACAAAACCCGGCGGGAGGGCGTGGCGGTACTTGCACGCCTTGCCGCCGTTCGGGCACGTCCAGAACCAACCGTACTGGGACTTTTCGATCGCATCCAAGAAGAACTTGCACACAATGTCGGTCGTCGTCGCCACCTTTTGGCCATGCTTCTCGGCGACGACATCTTCGAGCTTCTTCTGGTCCCACGTGTCCATGATATCTGTGTATGCGTATTACTATGAGCACCTAACCTGGTCGATCGTCCAATATTGTACCTTTGTCCTTGGCGTCGCGGTCGTCTTCGTAGAGGTTGATCTTGGTGGCCTTCTTGCCGACCATGAGATCGTGCGAGAACTTGCAGCGGTTGCCCTTGGAGCACGTCGCTTGCTTGAAGAACTCGCACACGATCGTCTTGGGGTCGACACCGAGCGGAACCTACGACGTCGTTAGCATGCAAAAGTCTGTCGTTGGCGGCCAACCTTGGGCTGCACGATGGCGGCCATGAAGAGGTCCTTCATCTGCTTTTCCATGGCCTCCTTGGCCGCGGCTGCGGCCTTCTTGTCCTCCAGCTTCTTGCGCTCCTGCGCCTCGGACGTGCCCTTGACCTGGTGCTGCACCTGCTGCACGTACTTCTGGACCTGCTTGGACTTGTTCTTGTTCTTGAGACCGAACGTCTTGTCATCGAGCATCCTCTCTTTCTTCTTCTCCACCGTCTTCTTGGACTCTTGGTTCTTCTTCGGCGGCATGTTGGTCGTCTACCTCGGGTCTCGCTGCGTCCTCCTGTCTTGGCAATTAATTATGGCCACCGACGCTGGCATCCGTATCCGAACGTCCGGATAAAGCGATGGGTGTCAATCGCAACGACTTGCAGTGGCGTCATGGCATGGATCCCAGTGTATATGGCCTAGGATAACTGCGCGCGACTACCAGCGAGCAGCGGTTGAAGCCTAGATGCAATCCTGTTGCTACGCATTGCGTCGGGCATTTAGTTCGTGCGTTCATCGGAGAGAAACCGATGATAAGGTTGCTATGCCATCGTTCACGTTAGATTATTGCTGCCACGACAACGAATGCTACCACAGTTCTGTTCGTGGGCCAGCACCTGTACACTTACTATAGCTTAGAACCAGCCGCATCCGAACGGCGAGAAGAGGCCGCACCCGCCGCCGAGACCCCAGCCGAAACCACCGCCACAGATCGACCCAAAGCACTCCTTTTGGCCGCCTTCGCGGAGCTGCTGCGGTTGCTTGTGGCTCGCCTCGGTGCCCACTTTCGTTGCGACGCCCATCGCTGGCGTACCGGCGGCAACCATAGTGGCACTGCTGCTGCTGGCAATGAGCGCAGGAAAGATGGCGAGGGAGTTGAGAATGAGCGCTGTCGGGAGACGACCAAGCTGGTAATAATGCTTGGTCACGACCTGTCGAGTTGGTCGCGACACACGCTCTTTCATAATAAGATCGGGCGACCGAGAGACACGGAAAATCAAATTTCTTGGGCTGTAGGCGTCGAACGGCGACGTGACGTGGCGTTTTGGGCTCTGCAGAGTGGTGTCTAAACACTTGTCAAGTATGAGCGCTTTTGTTTTTCATGGGATTTGGCCTTCGTCCCGACTAGCCGAGCACCCGCGCTTCCAAGGATCGAATTGGATTGGCTTGAAATCGACTTATTTCAGCGAATCAAATGCGATTATGCGTCTAATGTGCCTCACGCGATACTGAGACTGAAGCCATGTCAGTGGAAAGTGATCGTAGCGTTAGCACTAGACTGTGACTATTGAGAAGAGCAGTCTAGTGATAGAGCTATTACCGTAAACTATACTTTAGTAGTCGTTGCTGCGTTTCTGGAAGAAATCGGCCAAGTAGGCGCGGACGTCGGTCGGACGATCTTGGATCACAGCTCCGATCGCAAGCGACATGACGTCGCGAACTTTTCGGTCAAAGTAAAACTGCGTTTGCAGTTGCTACAGACATTCCCGTCACCAACAACGCAGTTGTGGTTGCCGTCGTACCGAACGCTTGAACTTGGTGAGGTCGATTTCACCCCCCGCCATAAAATCAGCGAGGTACGAAGCAACCTGCTCCGGCTTGAGCTGCACGATGGCTTCCAGTGCGTCCGCAAAGATTGGGTCCGTCGTCTTGACCATATAGTCGTAGTTGTCCTCCAGATTGTGCTGCAGAAAGGTCTCGTGGGCCTTGTGGCGGGTTTGCACTACAGCGATAGCATCGAATTGCCCAATGTCTGTCACCATACCTTTGGCCACGATCGCTCGCTTCGCTGGAATGGACAAGTCCTTCGCGTCTTGTCCTGGCGTCGTCATCGCCAACTCGGAAGACCCGACTGAGTAGTAGTTGGTTGGCAAATTTAGGTCCGAAACCCACGAGGAATCGCAAACTGTTTTGTAGCACGGCGTCCGTACCAACATAGTTCTACGCAGAGTTTTGGCGTTGTCTGTATTACGATGAAACGTAGTGTCCTCCTGCGTTCTTGGATGGACCAAGCCGGGCTTGCTGACGTGGCACGCTCCAGCACCGTGCAGCGTGCTCGTTTGTGATTCGCTGACCGGCCATGATTCCGGATAAAGAAGTCGTATCCGTAGACGGAGCACCTTTTTCGCAGGTGTAACTTTAGCTTTCGAGCGACGAGCGCGAGCGGCTGGGCATCCTCATGGCGTCGTCGATCGGGAACACGGCCATCAAGCGCATCCGAGCGGTAGGTGCTTGGCGGCAGCATGACGCCCCATGCATGGCCTGCGTAGGACGTCCGCGAAATGATGACCGACCCAAGCGACCAGTACTTTGCTGCGCCACTCGAGGTGCGCGGCCAGCTTCCGCCGTCTTGGCGCTCATCTCGCCCTAGAACAACATGTTTGACTGGCACTTTACCATTCGAGGACCGCGCGACACGGCGTTCGAAGGCGGAATCTTTCATGGGCGCATCCTTCTGCCATCCGAGTACCCGTTCAAGCCACCGAACATCATCCTGCTTACGGTAGACATGCATACGTGCATCTCGGATACGCATGGTTCATGATGTAGCCCAATGGTCGCTTTGAAGTCAAGAAGAAGATTTGCTTGAGCATCTCTGCGTACCACCCTGAACATTGGCAGCCGGCTTGGGGCGGTGAGCTCGCCCCCACACAACCACGATGGCTCACGGCGCTTTCTATGTAGTTCGCCTCATCTTGGAGGCGCTCATTAGCTTCATGCCGACGAAAGGCGAAGGTGCGATCGGTGCCCTTGACTTTAATGCGGACGAACGCAAGAAGCTCGCAGCCGAGGCAAGCAATCGTCTCTTAGTTCTCCATCCCTCCCCTGACTCGATCCAACTTAGTCGGTACACTGGTCATGCCCGCAGTGTGGCAGCATCAAAGACTTGATCCCGGAAGAGACGGCGCGGGATTCGCCGCCTGTCGAGTCCAAGTACGCGTCCCAGATCGCGCAGCTCCATATCCACAACATGGAGGGCGGCGCGCCGTCATCGCCGCCAGACGAAGCAAAGGAAGAAGGGAGCGAGCCATCCTCGTCTGATACCGCTGCTGCGTGCGAGAACGACCAAGTCGTTGCGAGCAATCCAGTACCGGTCGCAGCACCCACGCCGGCCCCTGCTCCGGTTGCCGCTGCAATGGAACCGACACCCGTCGCCCGCACCGCAGCACCAGCTCCAGCCCCCGCACCGACCGTTCCAACGTCACGGGCAGTGCAGAGCGACGTGGTCGACAATATCCTCCAAGGGGTTGGCACGGCGCTCATCGTCGCCCTGCTTGCACTGCTGTACAAGAAGCTGCTGCAGTTAAACGGATCCATCGAGTAGGCGCTAATGACAAGACGACCACATTTTGTATTCCTCGACCAGTGGTCAACCGAATGCGTTGTGCGACCACCTGTAAACGACACCATTGATACGTAGTAATGTAGTAGTGTGACCGATTCCGCTCCCTGGCAACAACCAAAACGTGAAACACCAGGCAGAGGGAGGCCGTACTCCCTAAACACCGGCTGGTGTACTACAAAGCAGAACGGAAAGTGACAGCTAAGCTACTTCTACAGACTGCTGCCAAAGGCTGTACAGTCCCACATCAACGGGCTCCTCCCGTAGGACTAAACATGCAAACACACATCGCCTTGTCCCGGCCTAGTGGTGTTGACGTGGGCTAGGTTCACACCCAGTGCCCCACCACTGTATGCGACCAACGGTCACAAGTAGCTGGTGCGTGGGCAGAAGGAAATGGCAATCATTGACTCCTCCTACATTATCGGAAATGCCTTGTACAATGTCGACCATTGAGAGGACTTCTTCTACCCTGCGTTCAAATACATATCGGAACGCAGAGCTTTGTTGGCGAGTTTGATCCTATTTCGAACCTGGACAAACTTGAGACCCTTCGTGGGAATATCAGCCGTGTTCTCGTTAATCGAGAGCTTCTCCATCGTGATGCCACGCTCTTCGACGTACTCCGGAACGTTGCGCTGTGACGCACAAGAATGTGCTTGCTGTTGTCGTGGGAACCGGGATGTTGGCACAATGATGCTGC